CTAAATTATTTGTTCACATTAATTTACAGAGAACATATGGGAATTAATTTTTAAAATATACCAAGACATAGGGCCTCCCTGGTGGTGCAAGGGGTTAAGACGCAACCTAAGAAGCTATCCACAGCCACTGCAGCACAAGTTCAACCCCCGGCCAGGGAGAGAACCACATGGCACAGCAGACCTCTCCTGACTCACCCACTGCTCTCCTCAGCAGTGTATTTCAGCTGATTAACCTGTTTTGTTCCCCACTCTGTCTCTGGTGAATCCTCTCACTCCCCCATACCTGTGGCCTATACCCCAGTTCTTGTATGCATAAATAAATCTTTAAAAAAATATATATACCAAGACATAAATAGGTAACAAATATCTTCCAATATCAGGATATTTGACTTTTCAACAAATATTATATCTCTGCATCTCTGGAACACACAGTAATTTCATATTAGTAAATGTAACACCATAACTTTGTATATAGTACCGAAGAGCTAAAGATTATTGTTTAAAGTTGAACATTTTCAATAGTTAGGAATTATAATATAAACTTATATGAGACTATTCCTAGAAACTGTAATTTTATTTAGTGAATATTATAAACACTGATAGGATATTAACATTTGCCTTACTGGTTGAGTGTTCTAGAAATAAGAATTTGAATGTGGCAATTTAAACAGTTCATCTTTCTTTAAAAGAATTATGCATTCAGTATCTCTATAAACATTGTCATGCTTAATGAACAAAATAAGAATGCTTAAATCAATAAATTTGAATCAAATAAGATGGCTACAGATTACCATAAAATATATGCAGAACTACATAAATGATTTAATAGAATCATATGCCTTAGGAAAATCAGATTTTCCATTGTAATATGTAGTTTTTTTCCAATTTATAATTATAGACATCATTTGTCCTTTTAAAGAATTTTTCATTATTATTAATTTACATTTCTTTAGAAAGTAGAAGGTTATAACAGCTCTGTTAGCTAGTATATCTCAAACCTGATACCAAGAAAGAAAAGCCATAAATGTAGAAAAAATGTCACTTCTTTCAAGCTTCAGTTCTTCTATTCTATCAAGGAAAGGTTTTATAAAAATTGACCAATGAAGTACAGTTTGGATTTATATTCTTTTGAAAGAGTATATATAATAAAGTAAACATAATAAATATAAAAATACTCAATGCTGTTTTCCCCTGTAGCAGACTTAATTACAGTAAAAGAATTTATTTTATAGCTATTGTAAAAATGTAAATGGGCCTTTAAAACTGATTGAAAAATTATATTTCATAAATGAAAGTTTGATTTTAATTTAAACAATTCTCATAAGGATTGATATGCATTATTCAGAATATTCTGCTTTTGTTATGATTGAAATAAAGATACTTCAGGAAACCAGAGGACAGAAACACCTGTTTATTATCAAATGACATCTCCTGGTAACTGTAATGATTTTATGCACTAGATTAACTTTAAAATGTAAATATTACAATGCTTTAAAATTTAAATTATTATGTAAAAAGTTGCCTAGTTTAGTCCAAATAGTCCTATCAGTAAAGCACGTATCAAAGTCTATATTAAAAATGCTTTCATAACATATGTTGATTTTTGTCCTATTATAAATGTAACATTCAACTATTAAAACATAAAAACTTAAAACTCAATAACAACTGTCAATGTGTTGGTATATTTCCCATCTGGCTAGTTATCTATACATCTTTATTAGCATAAAATTGGATAATATTAAACATGATTTATAACTAACTTTTTTATTAGCACCAAAATTCATGAGATATTAAAGTACATTAAATTTAAAAATCCAAGGACTTTTAAATATATGTTCTTTTTAGATGAAATTTTGCTAGTTGAGAAAACATGGATGAACCTAGATGGTAGTTTGTTAAGTGAAATAAGTCAGAGAAAGACAAATACCATGTGATTTTACTCATATATGTAACATAAAGAAAGAGAACAAATGAACAAAAAGAAACTCTTAAATATGAGAATAGAACGGTGGTTACCAGAAGGGCTGGGGATGGGGTGTAGGTGAAACAGGTAAAGGGGTCAATGATGGTGCTGGCTGGAAACTACACTTTTGGTATAGTTTACACAACAGATAGTACATACACATGTCAAAATAAAACACAGCATACCTGAAACTTACATGTTATAAACCAATATTATGCCAATAAAAATTGTAAAAGTAAATATACTTTTTTTTTTTTGAAAGAATGAAGTTATGCCAAGTTGAGTCATGAAGAGAAATGTCAGTGTGATCCATGGCAGCTGCCTGCTGCTTGCTTCTGGGAAGGAAGGGACCAGTTAGGGCTACAGTAGCTAGCAAAGTCACCAGTGGGAAAAGAACAAAGGCCTTTCCAAAGCCACTAACACAGATGCGCCCAAAGGCAAACTGTCAGAAACAGTTAAGATGACAGCTACTCACAGTTCATTATTTCCTTCTCACAGGTCACTGGGTGACAAGCTGGGTCAGTGTGCTTTGTCGGCTGTCCTAGTCCTTTCCCACCCCCTATTCAATTTAAATAAGGGTAAAGGGCTCTACTGGATAAACTAATGTAAACAAACACATTCCAGACACTTAAAGATGCTGGAATAAGGCATTTATTTTATTTTGGACCAAACTTAGAATGAAATGTACATGCAACTTACTCTACTCAAGCAAGAAGAAAACCACATTTCTATATCTCACTGAGGAGCTAAAACATTTTAAGTGTGGCTAAAGGAAATTAAAAATATAACAACATGAACTAAGAATCTTTCATTAAAGACCTTATCTAGTCAAAGAATTTCCTTTCAATTCAATAATTGAAAAATAATTTTTCTAAGTGACTACCAAAAAAAAAAAAAAGGACCAACAATCAGATGGAGAGATTGAAATGAAAAACTTAAAAACTAAAAACTTGAAATCTCTCTCTTTCCACAAGAGATTGAAATGAAAAAGTTAAATGAAATGATTCTGTAGATGGCAGAGACTGGTAGTAGTGATTGTTACATTGTTTATTTTTTAGGCTATAATTAAAATAATGCACCAATCAAAATATCAACAGTCTAATCAAAAAAATTTATGATCTACTATGCATACAATTTTAGTAATGACAACATGGCTACCTCAATATGATACATTCTGTTATGAAATCAATGGAATAAAAACTACTAGAAATGAAAAATAAAATAGTGGTAAAGAGTATGGTCTATAAATCCAAGTGGAAATGGATTCAAATTTTAAACCACTCATTAACCTCATTAACCAGTATGACTGAGCACATCACCTAACCACTCTTAGCTTTAGTCGCCATATTTTTAGGGATTCTTAGAGTACCTCCACATTTGATTACTATGTCAACAAACAAATGACTCTATTGTATTGCTATAAGAATACTTAGAATAGCAATTGGCACATGGTACCCATAACAGTGGCAGTTATCAGTTACCTGTCACCATATTTAGTGTATACAAAGCTAAAATGAACCACATTTCAAGGCGTGAATTAATTTGATATTATTAAAAATTATAGTTAAGATATTACAAAGGGATTTTTAAAATTTCTATACTAATCAAGCGCAAGCCTCTGTAAATCCAGAATGTGGGCTTCAACAAGAAATAAAGGGTTCACAATCTCCCTTACTATTTTCTATCTCTTAGTTTTCACTGAAAATTGCATATACTGATGTGTCTTTTATTATTCATTTTCTGAATTGTTTCACCTTATTTAAAGGAACCATTCCAAGATAAACAGCAAGTCAAAGTAATAGACCCCATTTGAAAAACTTAAGATTTAAAAGAAACATTAAGACAAGAACATGAATGGTCAGGCAGAATAATACAGAAGTAAAACATAAGACTTTGGACTTAAATAGGCCTGCTATAAATTACTAGCTGCAAAGCTTTAGCCAAGTAACTTAATATCTGTGTGCTTTTCCTATCAGTAAAACAGATAATATCTGTTTCATGTACCTCACAGATTATTGAGAAACAATGTACATAAAGCACTAGGCAAAAGTCAGTATATGTTATTAATAATCTGATGTTATCCTTTATTTTCACACATTACTTCCATTAACTACCAATTTCTTTGTCTTTCATCAAATTTGGCTACTGAGGTTCTCTCTTTCCTTGGTTACTTGTAAGGTAGTACGTACATTTGTATTTCTCTTATCCTTTTATTCTTTTCAATAACACATTCTTCAAATTATTTGTTCACTAATGCTTTCCTTAATGTTTTAAAATGGTACTTCTTTTTTCCAAATTCCACAAATCAGTTCATTTCACACTATTCCCTTTCTTTCAGCGATTTTATTCTTTACTTTGTAAAATTATCATTGGTGAAAGTAAGGAAATGTAAAGCCCTCTTTTGAAGCTGTGATAGTATAATGCACTGATTGGCTTATAATTGGAAAGCATGCGTACTTAACAAGACAACCTAAGGTTAAAAGTGATCAATATTCCAAATACAGTACCATGTTCTCATTTTACCCCATAATTCCTTCCAAAATGAGAGGAAAGTAATTGCTCTAAGTATTTACTCTTTACTCAAAATAACTTCACTGAAGAACAGAAACAGAGGGAGAGAAACTGAAATTACATCTATTGTAGTAAATTGTGGGGGTGGAGAAGAGAATGCTGATAAATCCTACAGATTTAAGTATAAAAAAGAAGGCTGGAAAAATTGCTGGAGCCTAAGACAAACCCTGAGGAATGCTAAGAAGTCCTTGGGAAATTTCTTATGAAATAAAGTACAAAATATATTTACCAGTTAATTACTACTGACTTAAAAAAATTTAAATATACCCCATTAAAAACTCTTTTCTATCTCTCCTTATTTTCACAACTACTACTTATTGAGTGCTTATTACATTCCTGAAAGTTTGAAGACAACTCATTTAATTCTGACAACTCAAACAAATGCTATGAGATGTTAACTGACATTAATTGTTGTCTTGCTATCATTTTTGCCTCACATTTGCTAATCTATATGCCCTTCTTCCAGTGTTTCATCATCAAACTCTGTTGCCTCAGGGGAAATACATCAGAATACAGAAGACAAATTCCTAAACTAATCGATGCCCTCAGTCTTTAGAGAAAATATTTCCAGGCCAGAGAAAAGGTGAGTCAAAAGTGAGTTACTCCCCTTCAGGGGATCCTCCCCACCTCCCAGGGCCACCAGAGCCAAAGACAGCATAAGGCAAACACAAAAATCTTATACAGGTTTCAGAAATCTGAGAGCAGAAGTAACATGTGCCTTCTAGAGTAGAAACCAGGATAATGACAAGTTCCCCAATATTTTCTCAAAGAGAGTAGAAGTATCTGTCTACTGTGTAGAAGATAGGCCAATAGTGATCTCATAGAACATAATTTGAGGTCCTCAGTGCCCCAGTGTTCCTTTAGTTCTTGTTTAACTAAAAACATAAAAACTGCTCCCAGGAACTTAAATACTAGTTAGAGAGGGCCCAGGCTGTATTAATGACCCTGTGGTTATATCATGGGTGATCAAAGAGTTGAGAAATTTCTATGTGATTTTTAAAAAGTAACAGGGAAGAAAGACTTCAACAAGTTTTCCTACATGTCCAGGACACCACCCTACTACGATATGGTAAAGTACTATATTTCTTCTTTAGCTTGTATCTTATTCAAAACAACAAATACAAAAAATTTGCGGGTTAAATAACAAATTAAAGAGATAATAAATAGAAGAGTCACTTCTGTTATCAGGAAAAAAATGACCCCCTCCTGTCAAACAGGAATATGTAATTTAAGAATACTTAATTTAAAATAGCTTTTTAATTTAAATAAAGTTACATTTAATTTAAATGCGGTTACAATGTTTTTCATTTCTCATGTAATTGGCATTTCTATCTACAGCAATAGTTAAACTTAGAATTTCCCTTCTGAGTAAGGAAAGAAGGTATTACTGCTTAAGAGTCCTTCAGTCAATAGTTAATTTCAAACAATTTTACATTAAAATTGAAGTTCATAAAGTTATTTTGTGATTATAACACCAACCTTAATGAAATAATAATAATAAAGTTTAGTTTTTCAGTTAAATATAGAGGATCAAAGAAATAGTTTCCATTTTCCAACAAAGGATAATTTTTAATTGGTTAGAAAAATCACTAATGTTCGGGCCTCCCCAGTGGCGCATCGGTTGAGTGCTGGGTTGCGAAGCTGCCCACAGCCTCTGCAGCGCCGGTTCGATCCCCAGCTGCTCCCCGGCCACCAGAGGAGGGTCCCACATGGGGTGCAGACCTCTCCTGCCGCCCGCTGCTCCCCTCAGCAGTGTACTTCAGTCCTTCTGCCTGCTCTGCTCCCCGCTCTGGCTCTGGTGAATTCTCTCACCCTCCCCTGCTTCTGACTGTACCCAATGCTTGTATAAATAAATAAATAAATAAATCTTTAAAAAAAAAAAAACAGAAAAAAAGAAAAATCACTAATGTTGGTATTATTCCAATAATAAAAATTTTCCTATTTATTAAATTATCACCACTTCAGACCACCTATTGTGCATTTATCCTCAGATGTGACTATAATATTCTTATAGAATAAAAAAGAATGTTTATGGTCTATGTCTTCTCATAGCCCTATTAGTTTTTGGTTTTGTTTTTTTTTTTTTTTACAATTGTTTATATGTTCATTGCTGCCTTACCCAACTTACTTTCTTTCAAATTATTTTAGTGAGACCCCAGGAGAGCAACTCTTCCTAGGTATACTTATAAACAAAACCATATATCAGTCTTTAACAAAATAAATATAAATGTCACCTCTCCTCATCAAATATGACCCCAAAACTAATATGCTTGAAAGCCAAAGGGCTTCTGAGAGATTTCAATAATCTTCAAGAAATCAATCTTACGTGAAATTGAAGGAAAACATCGAATGTCATTGAGCAATAAAACTCAGTTCTGTCAGCGCCCTACCTCTGAGCAGAAGCCTTGGGATGTTTGTCTTCTAGTTTCTTCACCAGCGCCACTGTCAGCTGCCCTGTCTTCCCAAGAGACTCTTCTGGCATCAAATGGGTATCTGAAGGTTCTGGCAGTTGCTTCAGATCAAAGATACTGGCACGTTTTTGCAGAACCTAATAAATGAAATAGAGGAATATATAGCTAGCTAATTTGGCATAATTATATATGCCAAAATTAAACATTTTCATAGTTCCTTCAGTTTTCTTTACTTAGCATATAAGTCATTTGTATGTGGCCAAAATAAAAGAAAGCAGTCCTAAGAAAAGCTAGCATATCATCATCTATTTAGTAAAATGTTTATATAAATATAAACATACATATAGTTATTTGTATTATGTGTATGACTTTAAGTAATCAGTTATATGAAGATGTGAATTTATGCTTTCCTCCTGGAAACAAATTGAACATTTTTTTCTCATTTCAAATACATTTTAGAGATCTATTTCTATCTTGCATCTGGCTCTCTACACCGACCTCTTCTGCTAGGCTGCTGCCATGTTCCTGATGAGATGTGTTCCAGGCACCATGATGAATGTGATACTCTGTCTGGGTCACATCCACTTGCACGTTTAGCTCCTCTAGGTAGGTCAGAACAAATTCAGGATAAACCTATAAAAAGGAAAAAAATAAATAATACCGGGCCTCCCTGGTGGCACAAGGGGTTAAGCACCGCACTATGAAGCAATCCGAAGCCTCTGTAGCATGAGTTCGATCCCCGGCCAGCCAGGGAGCAACCCACATGGCACAGCAGACCTCTCCTATCTCTCCCGCTGCTCCCCTCAGCAGTGTGTTTTGGTCAGTCTGCCTGTTCTGTTCCCCACTCTGTCTCTGGTGAATCCTCTCACCCCCCGCATCTCTGGCCTGTACCCCAGCTCTTGTATGCATTAATAAATAAATTAAAAAAATAAACATAAATAGTACCAGGCTTGTAACAACAGTCAAAAATCTATACATGTAGAACAATGGGAGAATAAATTAGATTAATAGTCAAAAATTCTGGCTAAGAGATTTTGTATTTTATTATTAATTTCAGCTCAAAATCAAGTCAAATTACTTTCATATTAAGATTTCTAGTTAGTTGTTTAATCTCATCAAGTCTAAGTTGCTAATCTTTACCTTCAGATAGATAAGATAAATATTAAATAGACAAGATAGGTTGATAGATGAATAGGATAAGATTAAAATATTTAAAGTTATCTTATATATTAAGAATGGTAACTGACATTGCAGTACTTCTCAATAAATAAAATATTATTGTAAACATTTTACATATATATCATAGTTATATTCCTTGGGAGTATTAAATACTGCTCTACAAGAGAAGAAAACAAATAAGAAAGATGAATTTTATTAGCTGCAAGAAACAGATAAATCAGTTAATTTACAAGAAAGAAGCCAAGCATATACAATGGAAAAGGTAAAGTCTCTTCAACAAATGGGTATGGAGAAAACTGGACAGCAACATGCAATAGAATGAAACAAGACCACTATCGCATATCATACAAAAAAATTACTCAAAATGTGATAAACGACTTCGATGTGACAGTGGAAATGTGGCAGAAGCTGCCACAGTGGCTAGAGCCGCCTCAGCAGTGTTCTCTCACCCTACTGCTCCACCACAAGCTGGTTCTGGCTGTGGCTCCTCAGAGCCCCACAACCTCCCTTTCATGTATACTTCCTGGATTGTGAAATGGAAACCAATCAGGTACAAGCTATGAGCTGACTGGTGTTAAATTGTCCAGTCAGCCACAGGACTGAAAAACAGTCCAATCAGACTATTAGTTGGGGCACCCTGAAGGAGAACATAAGCCAGGGTGGGAAGGTGTGAGGGGCACAGTTCCTGCCTCCAAAGAAAGAAGGGTAAGACTCTGTTCCTGGCCTCTGAAGAAAGAACAAAGGACCAGAAGCTGACCTCAAATGAAAAAAGTAGCAGCATCCAGCAGCCAACCTCACAAGGAGGAGGAGAAGCTGAAGACCTATGTCAGAGAATGGGCCTCTGGACAGTCCTAGCTCTGACATCACCTGAAAGGAGCACCAAAGGCTCTGGGCCTGGTGTCTCAAAGAGCTATTTGTTGTTGGTGTTTTGCAACAACTGAAAAGATCCGTTAATACTTGGTGTCTCTGACACTACCTCTGGGGCACCAGTAGTGACCATCAGTATTCACTGTGACCATCACAATTGTCCCATGTGGTCTAGCTCTGTTGACAGGTGACTGGTACTCTGCTTGTATTTCTGGTGGATACTATCTGGGTGAGATATCCAGCCACCTGTGGCTACAGTAAGCTCTTTGTTTCCCCAGATTTATAAAATAAGCCCCATGGTCGTTGTTCTTGGAGGCTGAGATATCTTGCAATTGTGCACATGGGTGAGAACCCCCAGATAGTGACCTGTTCTCTATTGGGCACTGTCCTTTGTTTGGCTATAGCCCTTAGGCCCCTATTGTATAAGTATGCATTGCTTAGGCCCTTGGTTTTAGCTTTTGGCCCTTTTGGCCTTTTGGGGCTTTTTTGATGCTCCCTATAGCCCAGACAGGCATCCTCATTCCAGTCATTCCAGCATCCATTCTCTCCTACCCTGACTGCCACTCTTTCAGATGTAAGACCTGCAACTATAAAGTACAGGAGAGAAAACATAGACCAAAAAAAAACAACATTAGCTTCAGTAATGTCTTTGGAGACTCAACTACACTGACAAGTTTCTGCTCAGGAAAAAATCATAATTGAAAGGAAGAGACTCTACAGAATGGGAAAAAATATTTCCATATCATATATCCAGTAAGAGGCTAATATCCAAGATCTACAAAGAACTCATACAATTCAACAAAAAGAAAACAAAGAATCCTATTCAAAAACGGGCAGAAGAGCTAAATAGACATTTCTCCAAAAAAGATATACAGACAGGCACATGAAAAAATGTTCATCATCACGTATCATTAGGGAAATGAAAATAAATCAAAGCCACAATGAGATATCTTCAAATACCCTTGAGAATGGTATATCAAAAAGACCAGAAATAACAGGTGTTAGTAAGGGCATACAGAACATTGAACCCTCATACAGTGCTGGAGAGCATATAGTCTGATTCAGTCCCTATGAAAAACAATATGGAGGTTGCTCAAAACTTTAAAAGTATATCTACCATATGATCTAGCAATTCCACTCCTAGACATCTATCCAAATATTACAAAAACACTAATTTGAAGCAATATATGCACTTCTATGATCGCTCTAGCAACACAGAATAGTCAAACCATGGAAAAGACCTAAGTGCCTAATAACAGATGAATGGATAAAGAAGATGTGATATATGTACACAATGGAATACTACTCAGCTATAAAAAAACATGAAATATTTTTATTTATAAAACATGGATGGAATTGGAGGGGATTGTGCTAAAACAAAATAAGTCAGAAGGAGAAAGACAAATACTGGATAATTTCACTCATGTGGATTATTAAAAAAAAACAGAGGAACAGACAAAAATAGTGATTATGAACCTTTTATTAAATTTGGCTCTTAATTTTTCATCTGTCACTATTTACTTTCCATGTCCTTTGCCCACCCTTTTTTTTTTAAACTTTTCACATCCCTTCACCCATTTTTCTATTGAAATATTTGTTTCTATTACTGCATCAGGTTTATTATATATATTAAGAGCATGATCCCATTCTCTGAAATTTATACTGAAGAGATTTTCCCTATTTGTCCTATTTCTTTATTTTCTTTTGCTTACAATATTTCAGACGTAGGACTTTTTAAATTATAAATCAAAGTCATTACTGCTTTCTTTTATCAATTTTCCTACTGGTACTGGTAGCAGGCTCATAAAGATGTTTAATCACTACTATTTTTGGGTTAGATGACTAAATCCAGGGCTTTTTAAAAAGGATATTTTATCATTCCATGTTTAAATTTAATTCTTGAAAAAAAAATTTAATTCTTGAATTTAGCTAAAACTGGTAATTGGGCCTCCCTTGGTGGCTCAGTGGTTGAGCACTGGGCTGCAAAGCTGCCCGCAACCACTGCAGTGCCAGTTGGATCCCTGGCCGGCCGGCCAGCGAGAGTGCCCCATGGCTCGCAGACCTCTCTTGCCACCCACTGTTCCCCTCAGCAGTGTGTTTTGTCAGTCTGCCTGTTCTGTTCCCCGTTCTGGTTCTGGTGAATTCTCTCACCCTCCTGCACTTCTGACTGTACCCAGTGCTTATATAAATAAATTAATAAATAAATCTTAAAAAAAAAAAGATAATAAAACTGGTAATTATATAAAGGTAGTGATCTAACTTTATCATTAAGCAAATGAATAGAGGAATGGTTAACTTTAAAGAAACACACACAAAAGGAAAAACTTATCTAAGTAAAGCAATACTACAAAATATATTTAAAGTTGTTCATGATTCTCAGTTTTAGCTTTTATAAATTACCCATAAGTTATTAAAGGCCAGAATCTGTGCCAAATACTCAAGATGTGAGTATTAATATCCATTTTACAAAGACTGTGAAGCTTGGAAAGAGTAAATGACTTGCCTAAGGCCACAAAACTAATAGTGGTAGAGCCCAAATTAGTTATTAATATCCTAATGCAGTAATTTTGTCATTTTTTTTAATGAATTGAATGAGCTCCATTTATGATCCAGCTGCAAATCATTATCAAATTATCCTCCATTTTATCCTTAACTAGCTGGATATAGTTTTGGATATGACTAAATTTAGATCAAATCAAAATGTCTAAACTTTGAAAAGAATGAAATGCCTCATTAATAAATAATTTTCCTCTGTGAATCTAGAAAAACATAATAAAAAATCAGCTGTTGTGTTTGGGAATGGAACTTTAAATGTTTTAGAATCAACTTCTTTCTAAAAATAATTTGCATTATTTTTTGAAAAATGCAAATTAAACACAAAAGTGTGTATTATTTGTTAGTTAGTAATATAATAGTGCTATTGGGAATAATTAGAAAATTACACACTGAAAGAAAAGGAGAGGTTAAAATGGATATTTGGGCACCTGAATTTTAGGAGAAAACAGAAGAAAATACACTAAGCCTTGGTCCTAATTATCTCTGTCTATTGATGCAAAGAATAATACTTATATATAAGATATGACTGTATTTGGGGGTAATAAGAGGCTGTTCTGTGCAGGTATGACTCAGATTGAAGTCATTATTCATAATGTTCAGGTCCTGGACAAAGGTCTGGAGGGATATTAGAGTACAGTCTTAAAATTCTACTTTTTATTTTTACTAAGATGTACAATTCTCATTCTTTCTATGACTCCCGTCTCAGCAACTCCTGAGTCTGTAGCTCAGGAGTATAGTGGAGACATAAATGAGATGAGGGGAATGTTGGGGTGAGTTTCAGAATGAAGTTAGATAAAAATAATTTTTTAATGCTTTGATATATGTTGATTATGTGAAATTTTCTGCTCAGGAGCAGAGGTAAAGGTGTGCAGTCTTGATTGAATTAGTGAATGGGTTGGAATTTTAGCCAGTGTTCCAAAAAATAACTATAAAGGGAATTACTATTATAATGAATTTTTAATTTTAATTTGTATAAAACTCTGCAAATTATTAAAATGGTAAAGTTTGTTATATAATAACAGCTTTTCTCTATAGTCTGATTTGGGCTTTAGGCTTTTTCTGTGGGCATTCTTTCTTAGGCCTAGGAGTATTAGCTGCTCCCTATATCTACATTCTTTAGAGTCTTTTTAGTTGTTACTAGCCAACTTCTGTTTATTCCAATCCCCAGTTACTGATTGTTTATACAAAACCGTTTCTATTCAAATTGCTATGTGGCTTCTGTCTTCTTATTGGCCATTGACTGAAATGAACATAGTGCTTTTATTTCTCTACTTTCCTAGGAGGAAGAGAGGGAAGGAAGGAGGGAGTGGAGATACAGAAAGTGAAAAAGAGAAGGAATAAGTATTGCACTGAAATGCTGGCTTAAATGACAATGAAATGGGTAACTTGTTTTAGGTTTTGGAAGCTTTGTGTTCTAAAGTCAAACAAAAGTTTAAATGAAAGCATTCTGTCAAATCCCTAAATTTCTGAGCACAGAGTGAAATCATTTATGCAGAAAAAGCATGTGTTGCTCTAAACAACAGACAGCACATTTTATAAAAATTAGGAGGTAGGAAACTTAGTGATAAAAGCTGTGGCTTATAAAGCTCTTACCTTAGAATAAATGCAGCCATCGGTTCCAAACACCCACTTCTGAGAATCCTTCCCTTTCTGTCTGTAATGAAAAGGTAATTTAGAGATTGACAATTTTCTGCATACTGGAGTATTTTATTTGGGAAAATTATCTTTTCCCATGTAACCTAAAGGACGACAACCCAGATGCTACCAAGCATACAGTCATCACTGCTGTCAGCAGCCAAAGCCTTCCCTAACACAACCAATTTCTTTGGTAGCCAAAACAATGGTGGCTGTGATGGTGATGATGACAGTGGTTGTGGTGGTAGGGATGTGTATTTGTGTGTGCTGACAATATCAATAGTAACAAATAATTTTAGAAAATAATTAGAATCAATAAGAACATTGTACATTTCTGCCCCCAAAAAATACCCTCAACAAGACAGAAAGAAAGGGACTTAATTAAGTATAAAATTAAGAGTACGTGATGAAAAAATATGCCATGGAAAATTAGGAAACTCAGGTATGTGTTTATGAAAAAACAGAATTTTTAAAGAAATATCAGATTTTTTTGAGCGACATCTCTTAAGAAAGAAAAGCTAAAATGTGATGAAGCTAATCAAGCCTAAGGTAACGAATCATGTATTCATTAATATTAGAAATCTTATATATGTAGGACAAATGAATTAAATTAAGTGTTATAGGATGTTAAAACTTTTTCTACTGCCTCTGAGTTTTGACAGAAACATCAATGGTTGAGATAAAGAGGTGTCAGGTAATGCTATACTTTAAAGCAAGGTGCTATATGATCTAGAAAAATATGTAAAGGCAGCAGTCTAAACCAGATTCAGTGCACATTAGCCCTTCATGCACATCTAAGTTATAACAAGAAAACTGAAAATTTCTTGGGCATGTAGAAATGAGTGTTTGATAATAACAATAGATCTCCAGGCCTCTCTACTCAAAGACCGATTCTACAGGTCTAGACCCCAGAAATCTATGGTACCATATAACACAAGTGATTCCAATGATAAAAGCTCTGAGGAATTTGGATGCATGTGGCCTATGGAGCATATTTTGGAAAACACTGAAGTAGAATGATGAGAGTTGGGGGAAGAACATACTTAAAATATTATAAAAGGAAAAATGATTTGGTGATTAATTAAATGGGGTAAGAGTTGGAGAGAGGAGGTAAGAATGAGTCCCAGAAGTCATCTGGATACAGAAGAAGAGTGTGACACTATTAAAAGAAAATGAAACTAAAATGGAGGAGAGGAAGACAGAGGTGTGAGGAAAGATGAGGGGTTCTAACACGTTAGATACAGACCTTTGAAAACACCTTTAAAGGCAAAACTGATTACCACTCTAAGAATCCCATCTCAGTCATCAGATAAATGTAATCATTGCTCAATTTCAGCATTGAATGGGGGAGGGAGGCATTGGGGAAGGTAATCTTTCTAGACATCTTTTTATTTTGTAATTAACAAAGGAAAAGAAAAACTTTTAAAAAATTAGGATTTGGAACTGAAATTTATGGTCATAATAATATCTACTATCCAAGATGACAATATATAGACTGAGAATGATAAGGGAGCTGAAGGCTATCCTCATCACTTTGCCACTTTATAGATTAATAAAGTGGGATACAGAGAGTTGAAACAGGCTTATCAAAATTGAAAGCTAGGTAGTATACAAATAGGCACTAGAACCCATAGGGACTTTCCGTTCAACATCTTCTCAATTTCATTGTAATACTATGGCACAAATTATTTTGTTTGTAACTTGGAGATTAAAAATGAATGAACATTTTTGTCTCATTCATTAGTCTGACACATGTTATTAGTAACTTAAAACACTTTGACATGAAAATAATTTTCATCCAATTATGATAAAATAAACACTTTAGGCTTGCATATTATTGCAAATTTCTCTGAGACACTGTAAAAGCTCAGATTGCAACCACTGAATGAAGAAATGACAAAAAGATCACTGGTTTAAAGCTATCAATTCCATTATAACTATACTCCTTTAAAAATAATCATAGTGATTGTTATCATGCCTTGATGGAAATGTGCTGGGTTGTGATATAATTTGCATCATTTTAATGTGTAAGGACCATAACAGTGCAACTTTACTACTTACGGGCAATTCCTCCTGTTGCATAAAGTATCGTGGGCATATTTCTCCAAGATGAATAAAATGGCAAAAAGTATTGTGTGAATTAATTTTTCAAAATATGAAATATCTGCAATTGGCAGTTAGCATATTGATATTAACTATCAAAACTTCATAATTTTGGTTTTTAATCGAATTACAGTGTTAGCTGAGGAATGAATGTGATTAAACAAGCATAAGTTATGTCAAATTCGGTTTTGATTTTTTGAATTTGTAGCATCTTTTTCCAAATAAATATAAGAAAGATGTCTACCAAATTAGTAAGTGTTTAATGCCAGAAATCATGAGTGTCCTTAACACTTCAGTGTTACTACCCTAAAATTAGTAAGAAGGACATTATGAAAAACATTTTAAATTTAATATATGGCAGTTTAGGGATTTAAAAGATCTTAGTGGTTAACTAGAGACCACAAATTACGTCATGGCTAAGAAAATGATAATTCTGAAAGAAATAAAAATTTCTTAGCATTTCTCAAATTTTATCACAGCTTCAATTCTGTTCAAGCATATGTTTGCCTAGGAAATCTTACCAACAGCATACACTTTCATATCATCTGTAAGCCTGTGAGCTTACTAGTATAGTAGTATTCCTATTGAGAGTCTACTGATATATATATAAATGTTACTTTCAAATTTCACAAAAGATAGGAAAAAGATTATCTCATGTAGTGGTCACATTAGGCAGGATGGGAAGATATAATAATAATATATAATAACTTCTTTCAAAAATAAAATATCTATAAACCAAAGTCAATCTGTTTAAGTGCATTTTATATGTAAAGAAATCAATTTTAGATCCAATATGCAACAATGTTCATGACTTAGCGAATGATGCCATAGACTTTCCTATCAATAAATGCCAAACTAAAAGACTATTTAAAGAAACAAAACCTAATTTAAATAATAAGAACAGCAATATCAATAATGAGAGAAGAGACAGTATTACATCAAAATATCAAAGTCATGATATGTGTTGGACTAAGTTGGGAAATCTGAGTTTTGGTTGAGGATTAACTAATAAATGACTGTTAGTAGATCACTTCATTTTTAGTGTCCTTGGAACTTCTTATAATGACATTGTTATTTTTATTGCTATCATCATCAACACCACAACCATTATTGCCATTACTACACTACCATTAAAGAGGGGTATTGGACTAGACGCTCTTTAGAGTCTTTTCTCTATAGCATATGACTTTCAGGACTATTAAGTAACTTTCATTTTTGCAGATGAGGAAACTGAAGACTATCTACCGTGGGAAACTTGCTCCCTGTAACCCCACTGAACATGTTCATGCATGATAGCACACCTATGGGTAAATTGCAAAAAAGACAGGTATATGCATATACACGTAGACATACACTCATTATTTATTTATTCTGAAACACTTCATTTATCAGAGAGTAGGGGCAAGAGGACAGTCCAAGGTCACAGTTTGGTGTGGATGAAATATCATAGATGACTGCTCATTCTTGTCAAATCGGTTATAAGAAGGACCCACATCAAGCTTCACAATTAGAAATATATTCTCCGGGGCCTCCCTGATGGCACAAGGGGTTAAGACACAACCTATGAAGCTGTCAGTAGCCACTGCAGCAAGAGTTCCATCCCTGGCCAGAGAGATAACCACATGGCGCAGCAGACCTCTCCTGACTCACCCGCTGCTCCCCTCAGCAGTGTATTTCAGTCAATCCGCCTGTTCTGTTCCTCACTCTGTCTCTGGTGAATCCTCTTATCCCCCACAACTCTGGCTTGCACCTCAATTCTTGTATGTATAAAATAAATTAATCTTTAAAAAAAAATAAAGCAATTTTGAAAATAAAAAAAAGAAATCTATTCTCCTTAACAGTCTCAAATGACTCTGGTATATTCCAATGTTACCAGCACTGAGAACAGGATGTACATAGAGAGTAGAAGGAAAGAATTTTACCTCCATTCTTAATATAGTTAGAACACAGATTAGGAGATTCAGTCATCAATCCACATTCTGTTAAATTACACAAGGTCAATTTTCTGTTTGGTGCTGATATTTCTAATGATGTTATCTAAATGTGTGAATATACTTTAAAGTCCAATGCATGTCAAACAGTTCTTTCTACATCGGGTACTTACTAAAGTCTGTCTTTGTGCTTTAATGTAATGTTTAGCTTCCTAAACTTTAAGATTGATCAAGGAGATAATTTTCAATGTCTCTGATTACCAGTGATGTGATATCTGTTTACTGATCTCTGTCTTTCTGTCTATTGCACCAACCATTAAACAGCTACATTTGTTGGCTGTATTTAATGATATCCTGAAAGCAGTGTTTCTTTAACCTACTCTAGATTGTCAATCAGTTATCACACCATTTCCAACAAGGCCTAAGTAGAAAATAAAAAAAGTAGAGTCAAAAAACCATAACTGAAAGATTCTCATTGAAGTAAGCAAGATAGTAAGGAAGAGTGGTATCAGAAATTAATCAAACAGGCTAGAGCTGGAATGAGGATGGCCATTAGAAATGAGGGGAAATAGAGCAATCTGAAGGATATATGTTTCATCCAAAGGGGAAATGAGATCCTGTGTAATTAGTATCACAAAAGAATGAAGGGCCAGTGCTAGCCATTCTTTTGATTTTTTTAAAGAAAAGACAGAAGTGTGTGTGAAATCACCCTACCTTTAAAGGCTCACAACTGATTTTTAAAAATTATAGTAATGTGTAGGACAAAAAAACCTATAGGTGCCAGTTTTTAAACTCCATAATCTAATTTTTTTGTGACTTTCAGATCACTTGGTAATGGCATCGTCGGTTTGTCTTTCATCTGCTCGTGGTCAGATACATATCACAGAAAAAATATTTAAAAGACAAATATGTGAAGCACTTGCTATAGTGAATAAGATGAGTGACAACAAATGAGACATAACTGAACTAATGAGGCATGATATATTTACAATATTCTTTACAGGTTGTCAGGTTGCTACTTTAAGTGCTAGTTCTATTATTTTTAGTATACAAAAGGCTATGTCTTGATTCACAGCTTTTGTTAAAATCATGTTATACCACTTAGGGGAAGAAGGAAAAATTGTGTCTCCAGAAGTTCCTGTCACATGAGGATATTTATTGTTATTTATAATGATATATGGTTGTATTTTAAAAAAAACAAGTCACACAGATACTGCAGATGCTCTGGTAAAAGATAAGTGTATTTGAAAGTATATAACCAGAATTAAAGTGAAAACTCCTAGTTTTCCAAATGTTCCTCTATTTTGCCTTCACAGTGTAGTAATGTTTTTTTCCTCTGATGAGGAAAAGCAACATCAATACAAAGGCAAATAATCTTGATTTGCATACAGACCTTCCCTCCCTCCTGCCCATCCTGCCTCCCACCCCGTCCTCCTCCATCTCACCTCTCCCTGGACCCCAATTTCTTTCTTCTTCCCTTCTATTCTAAATTAAATAAAATCCTTTCTCATAAATGGTTGCCTCAGGGTCTCCCATATACATCTTTAATTTATACATTTTTTTGTTTTAAGTAAGTTATCTTTAAAGATTTATTTATTTATTTATACAAGCACTGGGTACAGTCAGAAGCACGGGAGGGTGAGAGGATTCACCAGAGCCAGAGTGGGGAGCAGAACAGGCAGACAGATGAAGTACACTGCTGAGGGGAGCAGTGGGCACAGCAGGAGAGGTCTGCGCGCCATGTGGGACCCTCGCCCTGCGGCCATGGATCGAACCAGTGCTGCAGAGGCTGAGGGCAGCTTCGCAGCCCAGCGCTCAACCGCTGCGCCACTGGGGAGGCCCTAAATAAGTTATCTTTAAAGACACTTAACTATTAGGAAATAAGGAATTTATGCCACCTATATAGTTACTAGTCCCAGTGTTCTTCATTTTTATCTGGTATCATTTTTTTTCTGCCTGAAGGAATTTTGTTATTAACATTACTAGTTGTCTATGTCTGCTAGTGATCATTCTTTCAATTTGTGAAGATCTGAAGTTTTTATTTTGTCTTACTATTTGAAAGATATTTTCATTGGGAAAGGATTTCTATAGTGACAGGGTTTTTTAGTATTTTAAAAGAGGTTCTTCCACTGCCATCTCACTTGTATTATTGTCAACAAGAAATCTGCAGTCAGTTTCATCTTTGTTTCTTTTGTATCTAACATGTCTTTTCTCTTTGTATTCTTTTTTAGATTTTCTCTTTATCACGGATTTTATAAAGTTTTATTATGCATGTTATTAGTTACATTTCTTTATGTTTTGGTGCTCAGAATTTTTGGAACTTCTTGAGATATGTAAGGTATAGTTCTCAGAAAATTCGGAAATTTCTCAGATGCCATTTCTTCCAATATTTTTCTATTCCCTGCTTCTTCCCTGCAGGACTAGAAGTATTCAGATATTTGACCATCTGAGGTTTCTCACATGTCACTAATGCTCTGTTCAATTGTTTTCAATATTTTTCTCTCTCTTTCATTGTGAATATATTCCATTACCAGAACTTCAAATTCATGAATATTTTCCTCCATAATGTCTAATCTGTCATTAGTCATATTAAACATACTTTTCATTTCATAAATTGCAGTTTTCTTGAGAAATTTGATGAGTCTCTTTATATCTCCCATTCTTTTGTCGCGTAAGAGATACAGCCAGGATTTACACTTGGGAATCTGATTCTGCAGGTCACAATCTAAACCACTATGTGAGAGTCTAATACCTATTGGACAATCTGCTTTGCATATTAGAGAAAATTCCCATTCTGTATATGTGACTAGGTTAGTGTCTCTGGTACCTAATTACCCGAGTTCTGCCTTACTACCTGTCATGCCAGAAATAGCTCAGACAGCTTTCTAAGTTCTAACATATAATAGGACTTGTTTTTGTAAACCAAAGTTGAAATCAGAAAACAAATGAGCAAGAACAACAAAGCTTCTAAGAAGTAATACTTCCACACTATTGGATATAAATCAAATTTCTCCCTCTTTCTAGATTTTTTTTTAATTGTCTGGTTTCAGGGTATTTAACTTAAGTTCTCTTTGTTAAGGAGGGTGATTTTTTAATTTTAATGTTATCTTCCAAAATCAGAAAACAAAAACAAAAACAAAAACAAAAACAAAACTTTTGGTGCCTTATAACCCAGTAATTTTTGCTCTCATTTTCACAGCCCAATATGTAATATTAAGAAGATGGAAAAGAGGTTAGGAACATGCACAGAACATTAATTTTTTTAATTAGCAATCAAAATGGATATAAGGAAATGAGTTCTGATAATTATAGAGTAAAGCAGCAGCTTTTGTACAACATCAGTACATGTTGAAGGCCAACATTTCATTTTTAAAAATATCTAAGGAATGCTCCTAAGCTATGCGGCATACAATTTCAAGCTTATTTTAGATCTGGAAAATTACTATCAATATTAGGAACACAAATTTAAATATCTAATGAAAATCCCATCTAAGCCAGGAGGCATCATGATTTGACTGCTCAGAAATCTTGAAATTATCATCATTGTTTTGAGTTAAATAGCTCATAAGCATTACCTTTTCTGTAGGATTAATTTATATCCTTCTAGTGATGTTCCCTCAGTGGCCTTGACTCTGATTGGATGACCAATAGCGAGGCAGCCCTGAGTTATCGCTCTGCTCAGGATCATTCCAGTCTTCCAATGAATAGAGAGGGGGGAGAAAGGTCTAAATAAGTTAAAAGAACCATAAAATTCAACAATGTGTCACAAATAGTGAGGTCATTATGCCTGGATAACCCTGGATATTAACAGTTGCCGAAAGTGAAACACTACCCACAACTTAGCAGTCAGCGAGCCCTGCTCAGAATCAGTGATCTTCTGTCCAACAAGGGTGGCATTTTACAGTTCAGCGCAAAATAAAACAGACCTTGATATCTTCATTTGTCCTTTTTTTCTGTGCATATTTCACAGTGCAGCGATTTAGGGTCCATCATGTGTCACTTGTTATAGTTATAACTACAGAGCATACTTGAAATATGTATGCACAGAAAAAAAGTGCAGTGAACTGAAAAGATTGAAACAAATCCTTAACCTTCATACCAATTTAAAGTTTTACTCTGGGTCTAAATACCATGGGTTAAACATTTTAAGGTGGTTTGTGGACTGCTTTTGTTTTAAATGCCAGCATTCTCCTCTAAGGACACTGACTGAGAATATTATTTAAATAGCCATTCAGCAATTGCTTACATAGTGAAGCAACACGACATTTTAAATAAGTGACAACCACCAAGGAATTTATTTATACATATTGATGTATATATGTATTATTGTGTATACATTATACAAATGATGTATTAACAAGTAATAAGGTTTCTTTTGAAAAATGGAAGAGAATTTTCTTTTTTTTAAATAATAAATTTTATTTTGAGAATTTTCAATCTAAATTTTTTTTTTCAAAATTGTTTTCTTTCTGGCATGTAACCTTTATTGCTCTTGCTTTTGTTGTGTGGACAAGATATACATGATGAGTTAGGATAGTTTTGTTGTTTGGTCCTAAAAAGCAGTAAAGCAATCCTCATTTGAACATGGAACTGCTTGGGGTGAAGAAAGAGAATCATCACTTACTAAGTTCTTTCTCATACCCGACACTATGCTTGCCCTCACACATGCTTCCCCAGTATATCTCCACAGCAACTATGCAAGGCAGTATAATAATTTCATTTTGTAGATAAGGAAACAGTGGTTCCAGACAACTCAGAAACTTTCTCAACATCACTCAAACTCCAAAACCTATCCTTGTTTCAATAAGCATTTCCATTATTTTTGAGGAAATTTTAAACAAGTATAGGCTTTCTGATATCATAAAATTCTAGAAATAGAAATAGTGGAGTTACAGAATATGAGATGAAGGTCCACCTCTTTTCAGATGAGAAAGTTGAAATCCAGATACAGTGAGTGATTATCTATAGTCACATAGTTATTCAGTGGTAGAGATAAGACTGAAATACTTCCACCATGCTCACAAATTGGTCAAATGTAGAACAGTGTTTTATAGTGAAAAGGCATAAGATTTGAAGTCTTACTGTGTAATAAGAACTAATCAGCACATCTAAATGTGCACTGAATTCTCATGGGGATCTACAGAAATCCTCAGCACTAGACAAGCCAAGAGCAGAGAAGCAATGTTGGTAATAGTCAACAATTTACCATGCTTTCACTGCATACTTGTGTGCTTAAGAGCTGGGGTAGCATGGCGAGCCAGCAAGCAGAGGAAGTCATTCAAAAAGAGCAAACACTGTTGGGTACCTTTGTGATAAGCCACACACTGGCTGAAGACCACAGGTTCAAAGACGCTATCTGACTTTTGTTGCTTGCCTCACTGCTTGAGGAATTCCGCTTTCTGATGGAAACATCCGCAAGAAGAACAATATTTGGATCCGCCTAAACCATGAGAAAAAATATCTATATTTAACTTTAATCTGAAAGTTAATCTTCCTCAACACACTTAGCCAAAATAAGTGATCCTAGAACATGATGTTTCAGATTGAGATCTTGTTTTGAAACAGTAGTGCCCAATCCCATTTAATTAAATTCAATTAATATTTGTTGAGCACAGGCTCTGATATGTAAGGTCCTAAATTAATGGCAAAGGATATTATTAAATATTTTTCCTGCTCTAAAAAAAATGTACAATAGTAGAGGCAATAGTACACACAAATTCATTTTTGTACGAGTTCATCTAAATGATTAAACAGTGCTATACATGTGAAGAATGGCAGACACACTTCTGTTGGAGCAACTTGAAACAGCCTTGAAGGATTTTGAAGTTTGAAAGGAATAATAAAGAATAAAAAGGTATTCCAAGTAAAGGCAAGGAAGTAGAATCAACATAACTTATAGATTTGTTGGTAGGCTCCAAAGGTAAATTTGACCAAACTGAAGAAGGTGTCAAGTGTGAAGCTATGGACTTAGATGTCAGTGGGTAGCCACTGAAAGCTTTCAAGCAGCAGGTATTTGGATTACAGCAGATTTTAGTAAGGTTGATCAGACAAGGATAGATGTAATGGATTGAGAATGGAAAGATCAAAGGCAAGGAAAACAGTTGGATGTCTGTACAATCTCTTAAGAATAGAGGGATATGAGCTGAGACTTCAACGATAGTTGTGGGAATGGAGGGTAGGGGACCAACTGGAGGGACCGACTTCCCTGTCAATACAATGTCAAATGTATTGTGCACCTTTCAGGGTTTCTTACCTAGACTTGATTGTCAAATTAATAAGCATTTATGTCACCTGAAGGAATTCTACCACTTCATATTTAATGAACTTTATCTCCTACCTTTTATGCTCATTTCCCCTGTGTAACCATGCTATGTTTTTAAATAGCAATGTTCATTTGTGTAGATAATGGGTATATGCCACTTTATGCTTTAGCCTCAATAACTGACATTACCCCAATGATTCAAATTATTTTCTAATATTTAAAAAGTCTACTCTGTTAATATTCTTATTAGTTGAGCAGTAAATGATTTTTTAATACAAGTTAAATAATAACTTAAAAGCTACTATCTCATAAAAGTGATCAGGCAAGAATAAAAAGGTATATCTAATGTATTTAGCAATTATTCTATAATGATAGTCACTTCTCAACAGAAGCAAATGTCATATGATTTCTATATGTGAAAATAAAATTTAAGAAATACAGCAATGTCACCACATAAGCAGATTTAAGTTACAGCTCTTTGTGTATTTTCTGTGGCCAGATTCTGGAGAATACCCCACAGTTTCTGAACAATGATAAACTATATTCTACTAATCCATCCACCACAGGACTCAGCATTTAAAGCAGCACTCTTACTCAACCTCCTAATTCTAAGTTGCCATCATACTCAAAACTCTCCTCTGCAACTGGGAGGAAGATTGTTTTGACTGGAATTAGTCAGACAGAAGAACAGCACTGCCAACTGCTTCTTTGTACAGCACCTGCTGCCAGCGCCTAAATTCTTGTTATCTCCACAACATGGTTTAATCTTTTAACAGTTGGCTTATTGGTGAAGAGCAAAGGGGTCCTTTGTGTCTGTCTTGGGTTGGCACCCAGAATTAATACCATGCTGTTCTTCAAGAGATATTTTGCTGGACAGTACCCAAGTGATTCTATATAGAACAGACACAGCCAGGCTCACTAACTCAGCTTCATTTCATGTTATTAAAAAAAAAAAAAGATTCTGCCAAGTCTGGGGTCCTGATACACTTAAAACTGACAATGGCCATTAAATTTCTTTTAGTGACTTCACCTTTTTACTTTTTAATTTAATCTGATAACTTAGCTTTATGAAGGTGAGGAAGATTTTTTAAAAAAACTATGAAAACTGAATTCATAAAAGTGCTCTGCATGTGTGTGTGCTTATGTGTGCACATACAAAGGTGTGTGTATAAAAGTATTTGTGTTGAGACCAGTCTCTAAATACACACCATTATTTATGTCACTAAAAAACCTTTTAAGTCCTGTTAAGAATCAAAAGAAATTCTTTTATTCTTTTGAATACTTTTACATATACCTCCTTTTAGATGGCCACTATGACTTACTCTGACTATGCTGATATAGAAGCTACCTATGATTTAAATGATGTTTACAGATGCTAGGTCAGTTGAAACTTCTTTTTAAATTTTCTTTTCCCAAATCCCCAATAAAAGTGAAAAAGGCTTTAATATTGCTAGGCCAATATGGTCTTTTCTTATAAATCACCTAAGGAGCAAGTTACACCAAGAAATTTTTCTTGAAATGAGAGTTCATAGATCACAACCTTTTTTCTAAACAAGCGACTTACTTTGCTACCAATATATTTGATAAGATTTTAACTTTTGATAGTAAATTTAGAGTCAAGTAAAAAAAATAATATAAAAATTTTATATCACAACTGTAAGAAATATTATAAAATCTTTCATAATATCCCTAGTTCACTCTTACTGCTTGCATTGTCTAAATCTACAACTGATCAATCCACTCATGTTTAAGACCTAGAAACATTTGTAAGCAGAAAATATCACTGAATACATAATTATGCAACCAAGCAAAACAAATATCTAACATCTAGGTATGTAGTCCTCAAATAGTTTCTGATTATCATTCTAAATATGAGGAAGGAAGTTGAAATTTTATTGAAAGTTCTACTCTAAGGCAAGACAATCCAGTTTAAACTTAAAAAAGTTATATTTTCCCCAGCATAAATTATTTCTAGAAAATATTCTCAACAACTTTCAAAGAAATAAGAAAGTAAAGACTAGTTGCTTTTCCCCAATGTTATGCCAGTATCCATGACTGCTGATCTTAAAGATCAACATGTAACATATCTGTCAAAATTCTAAAATTATAAGTTGGTACTATTCTTGCTATTTTCACACCAAAAGTTGTCAACAATGTGCTGCTGATGTCTAATTATAACAAAAGGCTAGGTTCAAAATATATTTCCATTTCACGTTTGCAGAATATATTACTGCCATACACTGGAGTTTATTTTTCTGCTGTATTTTCTTATAACCAGGCATATCTGAAGCAATTTTTTTTATAATTTTTTCTTGCATAATAACTACTATGAAGTTCAAATCTCACTCATTTAATGAAAACATTTTATTACCTTTAAACGGAGACACCTTTAAACGAAGACAATCTAAAAATGTTTTCAATTTAAGTAACAATAGAGTGGGGTTGAAAGAGATATTCATGAAAATTGTCAATTTGTAATAGATTCAAAACCTTTTTTTAGAAATGGATAAAAGAGCAACAGGTTGTAATTGTCAGGGTTATATCTGTCTCTCACATTACTAACAGGGATTATATGTTCCAAATTTTCCACTGTAGGAAAGGTTTTACTTGTCAATAAGAGATTTAAAAGAACAGTCAGGGCTGGGCACTGGTATTTCTATCTCAAGCCAATTTTAAAACTTATGCATCAGGAATATATGCCTCACCTTTCTCTACCCTAGTTGTAATCCTCTTAGTGTCTTCTTTACTACAATGAGCATCAGGAGTCCACAATAAAATTCCCTAGAGAGATCTAACACCTCTGCCTGAATCTCCCTTTAAAAGTTCTCCTTTCAGGTTATTAAATTACTATTTCCAATGCACTGATCATCTCTCTATATATAATCAGATGTTTTTCTGAAAGGATTTCAAAGGTTACATAGCTAAGGAAGGACCATTTTCCTTTGAAAGCTTTTCTTTACTAGCCAGTTTATCAAATCTTTCCTACTTATACTACTATGTTGGTTGGATTAAAATTTTATTCAAAACCAATTTCTTCTTTCAAAAATACAACAGTGTACAAATTTTGTTTAAGATGAGTGTTTTCTCATTTTCATGAAGTCATTAGAACCATTCAACAACCACGAAATAACTATGGAGTACAATTTTCTCATTTTTCAACATTAGAAAATATATTCATCTTTTAAAGTCATACTTTGGAATGCAATCAAAGAGAGAAGTTGTCTTTGGGTTATGGTTCCCTAATAATGCTTTGATAGCCACTTTTTTTTCCAGTTTTGACCTCGTCACTCTTGAATGAGTTAGTTAAGTAGTGGATTCAATTCCATTTAGCTAGCTCTAAGCATCTAGGTATTGCAAAAAAGACAAGAATGATCATGATGTCTTTTTACCCAAGGAATTTCCAATCTGGTAGGGAGGATAAAATAAGGACCTTCTCTTCATATTCTAAGTACTTGTTTTAAATATAATTGCTAAATGATGAAAGGGGAATCGTTTTTTTTATGAGAACATTTCTCCTATTTTTTCTTTCCTAAGCAATACTAAATTTCCAAAAGCAAATCCATTCTCATATTACAAAGATTAAATTTAAAAGTAATTTTATTCTGCAACAGTAGGAAATTAAAATTGTTGTTTTTAAAAAATGATACTTTTTAAATGATACATTGCTTTAATTTCAGTTACATATTTGTCACAGAGAGTCCATTGAAACTTGGCCCTAGTAATGACAGAGCATGAAATCTCTGGCTTTATTTTGGATACCTGGAGTTATTTTAATGTTTCCTTTTGTGACAAAATTATGTCTTATAACCTTGCTTACTATCATGAATTATTGATCTTCAGCTTGGTTTTCCTCTTATGTTACCTTTTCTTTATTATGGCATTATCCTAAGTTTGACAATTATAATTTCTTCTTTCACTCATTCAGCAATCAAACCTGAGTTTCTATTTCATACTGGAAGCTGTATAGGACATTAGAAATATCACATCTGGGCCTCCCCTGGTGGCGCAGGCGGTTGAGTGCAGCGCTGTCAAGTTGTCTGCAGTTTCTGCAGCGCCGATTTGATCACGGCCAGCCAGTGAGGGTTCCACATGGCGCAGCAGACCTTTCCTATCTCACCCTTTGCTCCCCTCAGCAGTGTATTTTGTCAATCTGCCTGTTCTGTTCCCTGCTCTGTCTCTGGTGAATCCTCTCACCCTCCAGTGCATCTGGTCTGTACCCCGGTTCTTGTATAAATAAATAAATAAATCTTTAAAAAAAAAAAAAGAAATATCGCATCAATGTATGAATCAATATTCTTAGGAGATTTATAGTTTAGCTGTCTGGTTTTATGCTAACATGCCTATAATTGAGCATCTTTAAGGAAAATTTGGAATAAACATAATACTTTCTTAAAAGCAAAAGGATATTCTGGTTATCTTTCTAATACAAGGATCAAATGAGATCTTGCCTATGCATGAATATGGCACCTTGCTTTCTATAGGGAAATCCCTAACATCGAGTCATGACCTTTTATGATCTGAAGCCAACATTCTCAGCAGAATCTATCATTCTCCCCTTACTACCCCAGTATGAACCTAAATATTGCAAACCTTATCAGTGATTAACTTCAAATTATGAAGAGTTTAAGAGTTCAGTGTTCTTATAAATAGCACAAAATGTATACAGGTGAGGTATCAAGGCCAGAAACATCACATCTTACTGGATGGAGGTAAAAAAAGATTTCATGGCGCAGACAAACAGACAAATCTAGATTGATGAGCAGGATTTAAAATATATATATATATAGGGCTTCCCCGGTGGCGCAGCGGTTGAGCGCTGGGTTGCGAAGCTGCCCGCAGCCTCTGCGGCGCCGGTTTGATCCCCGGCTGCTCCCCGGCCACCAGAGGAGGGTCCCACATGGCGCGCAGACCTCTCCTGCCGCCCGCTGCTCCCCTCAGCAGTGTACTTCGGTCCTTCTGCCTGTTCTGCATCCTGCTCTGGCTCTGGTGAATTCTCTCACCCTCCCGCGCTTCTGACTGTACCCAGTGCTTGTATGAATAAATAAATAAATAAATAAATCTTAAAAAAAAATTAAAAAAAAAAAAAATAAAATAAATATATATATATATATATATATATATATATAATATATATATAATGCTAACCATATATGCCAGGCATTGTGCTAGAATATGGCACAAGCTTTACAGAGAAGATTGGGGGTTGGTGATAAGGAAGGTTGATTCCAGGGAGAGAGAACTACATGGGCAAAACCCATGTGGAAATAACAGAAAAATACAGAGTGCTTTCAGAAAATCACAAATGAAAAATCCAAAAAACACAAAGAACCTATCAGAGAATAGTGAGACTTAAAAGATAGGTTATAGCTAACTTTTAAAAATCAATAACAGGGCCTCCCAACTGCTGCTGGCTTGCGAAGCTGCCCGCAGCCTCTGCAGCGCCGGTTTGATTCCCGGCTGCCGGGCAAGGGTCCCACATGGCGTGCAGACCTCTCCTGCCGCCCGCTGCTCCCCTCAGCAGTGTACTTCATCAGTCTGCCTGTTCTGTTCCCCGCTCTGACTCTGGTGAATTCTCTCACCCTCCCACGCTTCTGACTGTACCCAATGCTTGTATAAATAAATAAAATGAATCTTTAAAAAAAATCAATAACAAAAATGTACTGTGTAGCTGTCTTACTTTCAAGACCTTAAGCTAGGACTCAGGAATTCGAAGATGAGTAAGACATAATGTCTACAGCCAAAGAATTCTCAATTTAATGGGGGAGAAAGACATAAAAGCAAATGCCTATACCAAAACACAAACTCTGAGTACAATTTTCAAAGGATGAAAAAGAGTTCTGAGAATACAGAATAATTTGAAATTAATTCTGTCTGGAGGATCTCACAAGGCTTCATGAAAGAAGAAGCTGAATAAAACATTTAGAAGCAGGACTAATAGACAAAGAACAACACATGACATGGGGCAAATATGCCAAAATATAAAGCAATTATGGGACACAATTTATCAGCCCTGACTGTAGTTTAGGACACAGAGAAGATCAAGAAGGGAAAGAGACTAGAAAGGTAAGTTAAGAGTAGGGCAAGGTTGGGGGAATATCATAGAGATGAGGATTTGAAACTTAAGTAGGCAACACCCATCATACAAGATTTCTGAGCAAGAAAATAATGTTATAGGAAAAAAAGCTAAACTACAAAGGAATTTTGTTAAGGTCAGAACTTTAGTAAATAAAACCTAATATCCAGTGAATATAAAATTTAAAAGACATTAAATCTTAGAGCACCATTCAACTAAATATTTTCTAAATTTGTGCAAAAACAGACAAAAATAAAAATGTATTTATTCTATTTTTACAGCGGTACTATTTCGATTCATATGCTCCTTGCACAATAGCAGTATAAATTTTTATGGCATAGAATGAACAGGCAGCTTGGAGAATTTTCTTTATAAAAGCAGGTTAGGACCATGTGTCTTTTACACTGTCTTTTGGAAATAAAGGACCCAGACCAGTTAACAGAAGTCTCACTTCTTTTGGACAGCTCTACATCTGTGGGTACCTTTGGGTTCTGATTTCAAGTATTCAAAAACTAAAAACTTATACAGTTGAAATGAACAATTTTTCTAACAAAACAAAGGAATTATCTTTCTTCAGAGACAAGTTTAAAAAATTTTTTCATAGATCAACTGGAGGAAAAAATTCTTCTTTACTGGCAAGATAAATTTCTAAGCCCAAACTAATAGACCTTCTGGACTAGGTTGTCATGAGTTGGGTTTTCTAAAGAATTCATGTTCCTTAGATACATTGATCAATAGAGCAAGTAGATCAGATCTTAAAGTACAAAGAGATAGTGGTCACCTTAAAGACTTTCGTAAATAACTCAGAGTTAATAATACAGCTAGTTATAAGGAAAATATCAATAAGAATTAACCTAATGTAGGAAGAATTTTTTCAAGTGGGAATGCTACACATTGGTTCAGGGTTTTTTTTAAGATTTATTTTTATTTATACAAGAACTGGGGTACAGGCCAGAGGCATGGGAGGGTGAGAGAATTCCCAAGAGACAGAGTGGGGAGCAGAACAGGCAGAATGACCAAAATACACTGCTGAAGGGAACAGTGGGGTGAGACAAGAGAGGTCTGCCATGCCATTTGGGTATCTCCCTGGCCAGTCAGGAATCAAACCCCCTGTGGACAGCTTCACAGTGCTGCGTTCAACCTGCTGCGCCACCAGGGAGGCCCCACATTGGTTCAGTTTTAAGGAGGTTAATTAACAGGAAATAAAAAAATACCTCTAAACATTTATAAAATAATTTAGTTTTCCAAATTTTTCAAAAATACCCAGTATATATGGACTGAATGTCCAATATATACATAAAATACACCATATTAAATACAACAAATAATACTGACCTTGTTCTGTAGGAAATGGTTATCCAAGTCTACCTTTTCAAACTGATCAGGTACTTGATGACTGGTACAGCTGAAATTAATTGGAAATCCTTCACAAACTTCCCAACTAAGAAAAGTAAAATTTAATTATTTTTGTTAGAATAAAATGTATTTATTTACATACTCTTTAATCTATTCACATAATAATTTGTACATCTTATACTCTTTTTTTGGGGGGGGGGGCCCTCGCCAGTGGCAGGGGATCGAACTGGCACTGCAGAGGCTGCAGGCAACCTCGCAACCCAGCACTCAACCGCTGGCCACCAGGGGAGGCCCTGTGCATCTTATATTCTTATAGCAAAAGAAAAACCAATATGTAGCTTGTAACCTATTTAGACAGAAATTTGTAAAGTGCTTGGCACCCAAAATTTGGAAAGAAGGCTTTAAATTTTTTACTTTGTAATTATTTATCAGGATATTCCCTGCCTAATTATTAGTAGAACAGAGGATAAAACATGATTTTTAATCTAACAGCATCACTCATACGGAAGATCATCTTCAAAACTGATTTTATATTTTAAATCCATTGGGTTATGAATAATAAGGGATGTTTTCATACTTATAATGTCAGTATGAAGCACATACATTTGGTATTTTTAGAGAATCTTAAGAGGCAGTGCATTGTAATGGATAAACAGACAAAATACAAACTACAGAGATTGGGTTTCATTCTTACTGCAGTCAAGTCACTTATTTTAAAAGTGAGTCAGACTTTAACCTAAACAAAAGGAACTGGCTCAAAATAGATATGTTAGGACATACCATATGGCATGCTATTCAACAGGAACCATTGTTGGGACTAATAGTAATTTTTATTAATACTCTTGAGAAACATAAATATGATTATTAAGCTTTCAATTAATGACCCACTTTAGTACATAGAAAGAAAATTCAATCTAGTTCAAACTTAAGTAAGTTATCTTCCAAATTACTCAATAAAGATAGTTCCATATTGTTATACTTTGGGACCCTAGATCTAATTTGAATCCATTTAATAAAACAGCATTCATTGCATCTGGGGAAGTAAAATTAAAAAAAAAAATACATAAAAATATGAACTTAAAAACATAAGTTCCTACAAAGAACATGCAATGGAACACAGACAATTTGTTCAATAAATGGTGCTGGGAAAACTGGACCACCACATGCAAAAAAATGAAACTAGACCACTACCTCTCACCATGCATAAAAATCAACTCAAAATGGATAAGAGAACTGGACATAAGACCTGAAACCATAGAATATATGGAAGAAAATACAGGTAAAACACTACAAGACACACATCACAATAACATCTTCAAAGACTCATCACCCAAAGCAAAGATAGTCAAGGAAAAGATAAACACCTGGGATTACATCACACTGAAAAGCTTCTGTACAGCAAAAGAGACATTTACCAAAACAGAGACACACCCCACTGACTGGGAAAAAAATCTTTGCACTCCTGTCAACTGATAAGGGAGTGATCACAAAGATATATAAGAACTCACAGGACTCAACAAAAACAAAATAATCAATCCAGTCAAGAACTTAAAATATATTTCTCCAAAGAGAAAATGCAAATGGCCAACAGACATATGAAAAAATGTTCACTGATACAAAAATCCTCAATAAAATTTTAGCTATCAGAATCCAACAATGTATCCATAAGATAATTCACCACGACCAAGTTGGATTCATTCCAGGGGCACAAGGATGGTTTAACATCCGAAAATCAATCAACGTTATCCAACACATCAACAAAAAGAAATATAAAAACCATATGATAATATCAATAGATGCTGAGAAAGCTTTCGACAAAGTGCAACACCTCATGATAAAAGCCCTTGAAATTCTTGGGATACAAGGAACATACCTCAACATCATAAAGGCCATCTATGACAAGCCAACAGCCAGTATCATTCTCAATGGTGAAAAGCTGAAAGCAATTCCATTAAGATCTGGAACAAGACAAGGATGTCCACTCTCACCACTGCTTTTCAATATAATACTGGAAGTCCTAGCCAGAGCAATAAGACAAGAGAAAGACATCCAAGGAATCCAAATAGGAAAAGAAGAAGTCAAACTATTACTATTTGCAGATGATATGATAATATACATAGAGAACCCCAAAATCTCCACAGAAAAACTAATTCAACTCATCAATCAATTCAGTAAAGTGGCAGGATACAAAATCAACACGCAAAAGTCAGTAGCCTTCCTATACACAAACAATAAATCTGAAGAAGAAGAAATAAAAAAAACCACCCCTTTTATTATCGAAACAAAAAAAATCAAATATTTGGGAATAAATCTAACAAAAGAGGTAAAGGACCTATACAAAGAAAACTATAAAACACTGTTAAAAGAAATAGAAGAAGACACAAAGAAATGGAAAGACATCCCCTGCTCATGGATTGGAAGAATAAACATTATTAAAATGGCCATCCTACCAAAAGCAATATACAGATTCAATGCTATTCCAATCAAAATCTCAATGGCATTCTTCAAAGAAATAGAACAATTATTGATGAAATTCATATGGAATCACCAAAAACCCCGAATAGCCAAAGCTCTACTGAAAAAAAAAGAAGGAAATGGAGGCATCACACTCCCAGACTTCAAACTCTACTACAAAGCCATAATCATCAAAACTGCATGGTATTGGAACAAGAACAGACATACAGACCAATGGAATCGAATAGAAAATCCAGAAATAAACCCACAGATTTATGGTCAACTAATCTTTGACAAAGGAGCGAAGACTGCATTGGAGCAAAGAAAGTTTGTTCAATAAGTGGTGCTGGGAAAACTGGGTCGCTACATGCAAAAGAATGAAGCTTGACCACTACCTCACACCATACACAAAAATCAACTCAAAATGGATTAAAGAACTAGACATAAGACCTGAAACCATAAAATACATAGAAGGAAATATAGGCGAAACACTACGGGATTTGCACATCAAAGACATCTTTACAGACACATCACCCAAAGCAGTGATAGTGAAGAGAAAGATAAACAGCTGGGACTACATCAAATTAAAGAGCTTCTGCACAGCAAAAGAGACAATAACAAAAACAAAGAGAAACCCCACCAACTGGGAGAACATTTTTGCACCCAACACTAATGATAAAGGACTGATCACAAAAATCTGCAAAGAGCTGATGAGACTCAGCAACAACAAAGAAAATAATCCAGTCAAAAAATGGGCAGAAGAGCTAAAAAGAAACTTCTCTGAAGAGGAAATGCAAATGGCCAACAGACATATGAAAAAATGTTCAACATCACTTGTAATCAGGGAAATGCAAATCAAAACTACCATGAGATACCATCTCACACCAGTGAGAATGGCACATATTAAAAAAACTAGCAACAACAAATGTTGGCGAGGATGTGGAGAAAAAGGAACTCTTGTGCACTGTTGGTGGGAGTGCAAACTGGTCCAACCACTATGGAGAGCTGTGTGGAGATTTCTGGACCTACTAAACATAGAGCTTCCATATGATCCAGCAATTCCACTCCTAGGTATTTACCCAAAGGACACAGAAACATCAATTCCAAAGAGCACCTGCACTCCTATGTTTATAGCAGCACTGTTTACAATAGCTAAGCTTTGGAAACAACCCAAATGCCCAAAAATAGATGACTGGATCAAGAAGATGTGGTACATATATACCATGGAATATTACTCAGCATTCAAAAAAGATAAACACATGCAATTTGCAGCAACATGGATGGCACTGGAAGGGATCATGCTCAGCGAAATAAGCCAAAAAGAAAAAGAAAAATACCGGATGGTCTCACTCATAGCAGGAATCTAGAAAACTTAAATAAGGGACCAGGAAAATGAATATAAGAAAGTGAAAATCAAAATCAACAAAAAACTATGAACCAGAGACACTTTTTGGGGGTGGGGGGCGGGAGGGGAAGGATTGGGGTCAGAATGGGGCGTTTGCAATTGTATGGGGGAATATAAAAATAAAATTTAATATTTAAAAAAAAAAAAAAAAGTGAAAAACACTCAGAATCCCGTAAAAGTTGTTTTAACGTTTCAAGCCAGATTTAGAATTTCAGTTCTTTGAGACTTTATGTGAATACAGGAAAAGTAAAGTTCAAAAGCTTTAGTTGACCATGATTCACTTTTATTTTATTTTATTTTTTTTTTAATAGAGGCATGTTTTTATTTAAAAAAAAAAAAAAAAAGAAAAAATGTTCAACATCCCTTATAATCAGGGAAATGCAAATCAAAACCACATTGAAATACCACCTTACACCAGTAAGAATGGCACATATCTATATCTAAAAAACAAGCAACAACAAAAGTTGGCGAGGATGTGGTGAAAAAGGAACTCTCCTACATTGCTCGTGGGAGTGCAAACAGGTCCAACCACCATGGAGAGCTGTCTGGAGGTTCCTCAGTCTACTAAAAATGGAGCTACCATATGACCCGTCAATTCCTAGGGATCTAGCCAAAGGACACAAAAACAGTGATTCAAAAGAGCACCCATACCCCTATGTTTATTGCAGCACTATTTACAATAGGTAAAACCTGGAAACAACCCAAATGCCCAAAATTAGATGACTGGCTGAAGAAGATGTGGTACATATACACAATGGAATATTATTCAGCAATCAAAAAAGATAAACTCATGCCATTTGCAGCAATGTGGATGGAGCTAGAAGGAATTATGCTCAGTGAAATAAGCCAGAAGGAAAGAGAAAAACATCACATGGTTTCACTTAGAGCAGGAATATAGGAGAACCAAGTAAGACATCAGTGTAAAAAAATAATAATAGTACAAAACACAACAAAGCAAAAATGGACAACAATTATAAACCAGAGACACCCTGGAGGGGAGGAGGAGGGAGAGGGATCAGAGGGAGGGAGGGAGGAGCACAGGGGACTGAGGTGATGGTGCACAGGTGCATTGGGGAAGGAAACTCTATGGGGACTAAACCTGAGGGGGTGGGGGGAAGCAAATATTGTTTAAAAATGAACAATTATGTAAAAAAATAAAATTAATAAAAAACAAAACAAATATAAGCTCCTAGATAAAAATTAAAAGGAAATAGTCTAGACAAATTCAACAAGTTGGAAAGAGATTACTGCACATGAAATACATCTTTTCATAAATGAAAATGCCTATAAAAAGATTGCTGATGAGTTATTTTCTATTCTTAAAGAAAAAAAGGGGCCTCCCTGGTGGCACAGGTGGTTGAGCGCTGCACTGTGAATCTGTCCACAACCTCTGCAACCTTTGATCCCAGCCAGCCGGGGAGAAACCCACATGGTGCAGCAGACCTCTCCTGTCTCGCCTGCTGCTCCCCTCAGCAGTTTATTTCATCAGTCTGCCTGTTCTGTTCCCAGCTCTGTCTCTGGTGAATCCTCTCACCCTCCTGCACATCTGGCCTGTACCCCAGTTCTTGTATAAATAAATAAATCTTTTTAAAAAAAGAAGAAGAAAAGAAAAAGAGAACAAGATAAAGCAGACTCACATCTTGCCTGGAAAGTACAAATAGTCATTAGGGGACAGAGATGTTGTTTAAATAACTACAAAGGAAGATCATAGAATTTGTCTTTGAAGACACATTGAGCAACAGGTTGACACTAGCTGGACTGAGTGACCTCATCAGACAGTTTTTGGTTATCTGGATTTGCTCTCTACTTCAGGCTTTCACATATATATTAGACAAGTTGTAATGTATTAAAAGTTAAAGTTTTGCTGCCTACTATCCAAAAGTAGAATGATCTTGTGAAACCTTTTGTAAGTCAAAATAGCATAAAACAAGAAGCAATTACCATTAATTTATATGAAAAAAAAATCATACCAAACAACACACAAATACATAAAATAACACTAACTATGGTTAAAACAGAAATGATATGATAAATAGACTACCAGTATAAAATAGTTGCCAGGGAAGGCTTGACAGTGCCACCCTTGCTGCTCAGAGTGCTAGCTCTAGGGCTACTGCAAAACAAACTGAATGCTATTTTGCTTTTTGTCATAAAAGAAAAAAATCCTCTTGGGACTTCCTTTGGTTAGTGAAAAGAGGTACTAATGTAGGTCTTTTGTAAAAGTGAAATGGTGAAATTCTAACTTTCACACAGTAAGGGAAAGCAGTACTCAATAGCCACAAAGTATGTTCTCATCATCATAGAAAGATCTCCTGGACAGTGCTGGACAGTGGTCAAGCACCCAGTTCTTAAGGAAGACAATCTGTGGTAAAAATATGAATGGAACTGGAGGGGATTGTGCTAAGTGAAATAAGCCAGAAGGGGAAAGACAAAGAGTGTTTGATTTACTGATATGTCAAAAATAAAGGAAGAGACAGAACTAAAACCAAAACAAACCCTAGATATTGCTGTAGAATTAACGATACCAGAAGGGAGTGGCGGTGGTCCCTAAAAGCGGGGAGGGGATCCAATGGTCGATGGTAGAGGATTGATTATAGGTACTTTGGTGGTGGGTGTGGTGTGGTAACATACACCTGAAAAACTGTGAACCTATACCCCTAAATAACCCCTAAGTCACATATGGTGATGTGACTGCTACCTAATTTAAAACGTATACATTATAGGGAGAAAAAAAGAAAAACAATTGAGGTAATAAGCATCCTGACTCTATTGAGTGTTGACCATAGGCCAAACACAGTTCTAAATGAGTTAGGTAAGAACTTATTTAATCCTCAAAACAATTATTTTATTCCCATTATTATCTATTAAAATAATTGTTTTGAGGATTAAATAAGTTCTTACCTAACTCATTTAGAACTGTGCTTGGCCTATGGTCAACACTGAGTAATTGCAGATTTCATTATTTGCAGATAAGAAACTGACACCTATATGCTCATCGACAATGCTGAGCAAAAACAAGGATGCTTGCCCAGGTCCTCAAACTAGGGTTATTCTGTTTTCTAGCCCACCAAACCTACAGCATATTGCTTTTGGTTTCAATTTATTATCATCAAATAAAATGCTTAGATATGCACACTCAGACAAAAAAGCCACATTATTTAAAATATTAATAATTCCATATAAAACTATTAATTATGAGACATCCACTAAAAACAATTTTTACATTTCAGACAAAATTGCAAAGCAGACATTAGTTTTTTCAATGCCCCATATTTTTTTTTAAACTTGAGGAAAGTTAATGGCAAGCTGTTTTTGTTTTTGTTTTTTTTTTTAGGAACTAACTCATTACATGATGAAACAAGTCAATAAAATGAACAAATACTTATTTAAGACAATTCAAAGTACATCTTTTAATGTTTCAATCTCTCACTCTGGGAAATCCTGAATTAGGTGAAGTAGACTACTTTAACCAAGCACATATTAATTTACTTGTCACATCCAGGTAGCAGAACAGCATTAGGATCCAAGAAGGTTTTATATGCAATTGTAATACCATGTCTGGCAAATGCAGTCACTTGGTCAAAGGTCAAACCCAAAATGGGGTTTAGTGGAGATCTGAAAAATGGGAAAAAAATTAAAGCTATATTAAAATTTATACAAGCACTGAAATTTGAGCACAAATAAATGATAAAATGCTAAAACACACAATATCATGCCTAATAAAATACATAAATACATTTCCTATTACATAACACTACTGTTGATAGCTTAAACTGACATGTGAAGTGCACATTTTAATTTATTTGGATATTATGTCAAAAATAGTCATGACATGTATAATTAAAAAAAGCAATTTCAATAATAAAAGCAAAGTATTTACTTGAGAAAAACAATTGTCATTCATATAATGTTCATTCGTTCATGTGTAACTGCAAGTATAATGTAATACACCACAATAATCTTTGGAGACTGATAAATGAATCTTTAACATTTGACTGCAAATAATTTTTGGGGAGTTCACTAAATATTACCCTGATTTGATCTAGGTTAACTTCATGGAGTACATTGTTTTAGATTAATCTAATCATTTGAGAATTACAATAAAGTGGAAAATAGATCTTTAAATAAAAGCAATATCAACTCTATCAAATATGAGCCTTTTTTCCCCCTAAAATGGTGGCAAAGACTTTACATTTAACTTTAGAACTACAGGACTCAACCAATAATGTAGTATTATTGTCAAAAACATTTAAACTGAATATAATAATGAGAAAAAGACTCTGACAAATTCAGAAATGTGAACCATTCTACAAGAAAAGTGCCTGACTCCTCAAAAAATTAATATAATAAAAAACAGAACAAAAGGTGGGGGGAATATTCCAGATTAAAGAAAATAACTAAATATAATATATGAAACTTGTTTGGATATTGGATTATAAAAAGTTATAAAATACATTTTAGGTAGTTTGATAGTAGATGACATTAAGTCATTGTTTACGGTGTTAGAATATTAGGATGTGGTGATATAGAACAACCTAGTCTTCATTATGTGACTGAAACATTTAGGGGTAAAACTTTAATGATCTTCTGGAATTAATTTTTAAAATTAATTTTAAAAGAGAGAGAAGGGAGAAATAAGAAAGGTAAAACAAGGTAGTAGCTCTTTAAATTGGTGAATCAGAATGAAGGATATATAGGTCTTCACTGCACAGTTCTTTCAAGTTTTCTGTAGATGGTAATTTTTCAAAATAAAAATTGAGGGAAAAATAATTAAAGGAGTTAAAATAAAAGCAGATATTGGCAAAATCATCTTTTGAAAATGAGTAGCCTGAACTCAACAAATATCATTCACATTAGAATTGATCCCTGAAAATAAGTATCTTAGTGCATACTGCACATTTTCTCAATGTATTTTAAAATAGATGGAAATAACTTTTTCACATAAATTTTAGAATTTCCAATAGTAGAAAAATGCTGTAATTTTCTCTAGTGTTTTATACTGGACTCAAACCTAGAAAAAAAAATTATTACATTAAAATAGCAACAAATATATACACCTCTGATACAATCCTCAGTTGATTTCAGTAAATTCCAAATACTTAGCATTTTACTAGTTATCCCACGAATATGATCCAATTAACCAAGAATAAGTATTTGATCTTATCAAAACACCATGTTGTAGCAAATATCATTAAAAACATCAAAATTAGTCATTGTTTTCACTTTAACAAAGATATTAAGAAGAAATAACAATGACACACATTTTATTCAATCCTTTCCTTGTCACTGGAAGAGCTTGCTAAATTATTCAAGAAATCTTGCCACTTTAAAATTCATCACCGTTTTTATCATTGTAAAACAATTCTCACACTGTAATTAAATTACATTTGAAAATCTGCTATGGATAAAGCACCAGTCCTTACAGATTTTTTAATTCTAAAAACTACACAGCATAAAAAATTATGAAATATTTTAACTTTATTGGGACAAAGTAAGATTTTATAGTATGCCATCTGCAACTTAACCTACCAACTTCTTCCCAAACCTTCATGGAGTTCTGAGTGGATTTGTTTCATGGTTTGAAATTTTGACTCTAAGAAAATATAGTAAATCCAATCATCTCCTAGTTCTGTTATTTTCATTATAAATATATGATCAATTATAATCTACAAGCAAAATTATGTCCCCTCTTCTGTCCTAAAGATAAAGAGCCTTAAAAAAATCAAAAGTACAGAGAAAAGCATGTTAAGTTTCCTGACAAGCAGTTTCAGAGTTCATCTGGATGTGTCCTGTCAAAATATGCATACATTTCCAAGCTAGTCCACACAACAGCCCAGTTCATCAGTGCCTATAGACTGCAACCTTTTTCTTTTCTCAGAAATGCAGATAATTTTATGCAGGAATTTACCAATCTACTAAAATTTACACAATGCTCAGCAATAACCAGTAATTATTGTGGTATAATATGAGGCGCTTTTGAGGAATATAACTTTGATAGGATAGGGCTTACAAGCTTTACCAATTTATCTTTAGCTGTGCTGTCATTGGTGCTTAAAAGGTTAAGACTTTATTTGTGAAAACATAGAGAGATAGTGGGGAATCATGTTGTCTACAGCTTCATAAATCTTGCTTAAGATCCTTTTCAATTACCATCCATTTCTCCTTTAAAAAGGGACAAAAAAATAGAGGAGTGGAAGCAGGTCAGGGCAGTGTGCGACAATGACAGTGTGATGGGCTTGCGCCCCCCGTGGCGTTTCCATCTGCTATCATTAAGGTGACTACTCAGACATGAACAAATCCCACTTGCTGTGCTGACAGGCAGACTTCAAGAACTATGACAAGGCATTAAGACAGAAAGTCAGAAAGAGAGAGAGAGAAAGATGTCATATCCCACAAACAATACTGCCTTACACACGCAAAAAAAAAAAAGGCCCCTAAAATTTTGTTTGAATTAAAAGTAATTTTTTTCATAAGGGGTATTACTTGCTTCTCAACTCTCCTTTTAAAATTAACTTGTCCCTAAGAAGATTGAGAACAGAGAATAAACACCTTGCTCCTACCTGTATGCTTTACCATAAGAGACCCAAATTTTTTGCTCATTCTTCAGCAAAAGCGGATTCTTAATTTCTTGACCATGCTCATCATAAAGCCGGGCTGAAGAAAAATTGAGGCCTGGTGTGCTGCTGGAAGAATCTTGAAGCTTTTGATGAATCTTGAGAAGTAACTGTTGGTGAAAAAAAAAAAAAAGAAAGAAAGAAAAAGAGGAGGAGAAAGAAGACATAACCTAAACTGTGAACATCTGTTAAAAAAAAAAAGGCTCTATAACAAATGAAGTCCAAACAAATGATAATTAAATTCATATAGAATGTTAAAAGAAGTGTGAAATGACGGCAATGTTTAGCTCAGTGTAAAGTAACAAAATGAGCACGGGCTTTTAACCAGCAGGGGGTGCCACAGGCTTGTGATTGAGCTCTGACCCTTTGGCACAGGGACTGAAAGCAGATGTGACAGTCTTACAGAAAGAGCATTTAGCTTTTCTACACACGGGAACGAGCCTCTTTGATAAGGGTTACGCTTTTCTTGTCTGAGCTACACATCTTAGGGTAGGGTCCTTCCAGAGCACGTTCAAGTTTTACAATCAGCAATCTCCCCATCCCCAGCTAACCTCAGATCACCAATGGTGGAGTAATTCAACCACTTATAGGATTGCAAAAATAATGACTTTCAGTCTACATCGGCTCACTGAGAAGAACTCTTCCTGGATGTAATTTAATTAAGGGCCCTGTAAAAGCTTGCAAGCACTTTCAATAATGAATGTTTTCAAGTTGTGAATAAGACATAATTGAAGTGTGAAGTATGAAATGTTGTCATTTAATATTTGAAATAGTAGCATTTCCAAAGTTCATTTCTAACATTAGGGTCTCTAAATTATCAAGATATTTTTAATTTTAGCCATCTTTCAAATCTAAAGTAAATCTAACCTTAACTGTGTTGCATACAAAATTTTACGATATTTTTTCAGAGTTATCTATCACCTTTGAGTGTTCAGGTTTATGCTCTTTCTTGCCTGCTCTCTGCCCACACCATCCATCACTCTCTTCTTTCCTCGTTTTTCTAACAGGCTTCCTTTTCTTCTCTCTCTTGTCAGTTCCTGTGTCTCTCAATTTCTTGTTACTCTGTAATCTCGGCAGGGATGCAGATGGAGTTGTAGCCTTTTCTTGCCTATCTGCTGTTCAGGCTGCCTTTTTTTTTTTTTTTTTTTTTTTTTTTCCTTTTTGGCTCCTATTATTTCCTATTGAAGGTACATTGAGAAATGCTAAATTAAGAGGAAAGAAGAGAAAAATTCAATCCTGTCATTTGTCTCGGGTTTTCTTACCTTTCGGCTATAAACCCTTCACCAAGTAAGGTATTTTTTTCAACTGGTAACTAAGAGTTATGCTTTGCTCTGATTAGAGATAATTGTACTCCAACTACATCAGATCTACCTTGTTTTATCAGTTCTACATTACCAAATTTTTAGCCTCAGAAAGGCTGAAAAATCACATTTTTCATTTCATTAAAGTTAATACTTCTCATCCAGCATAGCTAACTGACTACTGATTACGAATACTGACTATTGATGATTCTCCTTAGGCAAAACTATTAGAATAGTAAAAATATGCATTGTTTTGTTTTATCATTGGACCCACAAGCATATTTTGAAATCTGTAGATTGTGTTTACAAAGCCCTACATTTATTTCTGTGTGGTCTCAGTCCTTCCGCTTATTTTTTTGTAGCTTTGCTATTATTTCAGAAGACATGTAATGTTGATCATTTTAAAAATCACAGTGATTTTGTTTTACAGCCATCACCTTTTTGTATGGGGGAAAAAGATGAAAGAAAGATTTAAGGCTAGATCCAGGAGAGAAATGCGTACACAAGGAACAGGGGTGTGTGGTAGAGAAGGGATGTGAACACCTGACCACTTAACCAAATTCACTTTCCCAGGAGTTGCATTGTAATCTCTATTTTCTCAACTTGGTGACAGACTGCATTTTAGGTGTTCAAAGATGAGCATTCGACAGCCTACGGGAGGTAAAGGCCTCAGTGCCTTTCATCTCTAGGTCATTGGTTAGGGCTGGGTTATGGTGACCAAAAATTGTGATAATCTTCACCCATTTATCTTTAAAGCTATCATCACCAGTTCTTTATAGGATAAGAATTTGTTTAGAGACCTCAGAAGAGTGTGAAACATCTTAGGCCGGTGATTGAGACAAGCGAGTACCAAGGGAACAGTCACGCTTGGGTATCAGAGTACTTTCCCGAAGAGTTTTATCATGCCCCAAATTGCAAGATTTTCCCCCAAATTTACTTGCATTTAGTAGCAAAGCACAGATCAATTTTAGTATGTAAAAAACGAACTTTCTATGAAATATTATAAAACTTTCTATAAAATATTATCTTTATATATAACAATAAAAATATTATCTTCAATTTTAAAATGAACCCTAAAGCAAAATATTCAAATGTGAAAAGAGGGAAGATGGGTGAATTCTAGAAGGTTCTTGTATTATAGCGATTTGTATAGTAAGGGGCGTGGTGGTAAAAAGAAACCTGTCAAGGATCTGGCTCCTTCTCTCCCTAATCAATCAAGGTAGCATTTCCATTTCTTTGGGACCCAGCTAATGATTGGAGGAGTGTCCTAACTCTGTGCAACTTTTGTGACTACTGCAAAGGCAGTAGATACCACCAAGATTAGGTAAGTCTGAAGGTACTGAACTGAAGGGGGGAAAAAGGAGCAACTTTCTAAACAAAGGGCAAGCAACAGTCCCCAATACTGGTATGCATTCAGGTGCATAAACCCAATTTGTAAACAACAGGGCTTCAGTATCCTTTTATTTGAGACAAAGACCCAAAGTAAAGACCCTCAAGGTGCTGTTTTTGCCCGAGAAACATTCCAAATGTCTAGAAAGTAGGTGAAGGTAAGAGTTCCTAAGATAAACTATTTGGATTTGCTCCCATGAGCACAGAAGACCAAGATTGCAGGTTAGCGTAGTTATTAAAAATACCCTATACCCAGAATATACCCTTCATTGAATATCACATCATAAGGGTAAATAAGAGGGCAATCCCAGAGTCCAGAGTAGAAAGATTTCCAATTGAAGAAGCATAGTTAAGGTTAAGATGCTATTAAGAGGCCAGGAATTATACTAAAGCTGAGAGCCTAAGGTATTTGGAAATCAAGCTAAAAACTATCAACCTTTACAGATCAGCAAATGACTGATCTTTTCAAAACAACTTCAAAGATGTGATTGTCTAAATTAACTAGAAGTAACTTGGAAGACAATTAGTCATAGTCAGTAAACTTACTCTTTCCATCATATCTCCAGTTTGAGTTGGATTATTTGACCCCAAATCTTTTCTGCTGATACAAAGAGAGATCTCTCCAGTGTCTTTACCATTTTCAAATATCTGAAAAATAAATGCATTCAAAATCACAAATAAATACATATGCTGATGTACACATACCCATACATCATATATAAATGCAGGTAGTCCTGACTTTGCATGGTACTCCTTCAGCAGAAAGTCCTGCATATGGAAACGGTACAAACCAAGGTCACCTATATGAATACATGCAAGTAGTAAGTGGCAATGAAACTAAAACAGTACAAAAAAGTTCCTTATTTCTCCTGTTGGTTTTAGTGTCTTAAACCTGACAGGCATTTCCCCAAATCTGAAACTAGAAGGACACATGGATCTTAAAGGGGAAATCACTAACTACAGAGGATGTTTAAATGGGACAAAGTGTCAAGAGAAGGTCAACTAGCAATCAATTAACCAGCTCACATTATTCTTCTTGAAAAACATGAAGCCACAAATTACATGAGAAAAGATTGGTTTATATTTAAAATATGTAAGTTTTCAACTCATCTTTCATCTTACTGCAAAAAAATTGAATGTGACAGATTTATTGCATAATAGTAAGATGAAAGCCATCCATTCTAAGTGCATATTTACATATACGCAACAAGTCATTGAGAATACATGGTGCAACACACTCAATGTGGGGGGAAAGGTTAGCAAATATTCAGGTTAGAAGAATCTGAAGAAACCAGTCCTGACAGGAGAAATCCACTGGAGTGAACACCTCCCTTGGACCATGTTGAGTGTCCTTGTGGGGTGTGCCATTCACAAGCTGAGAAGGGAGGCAAGCCTGACGAATAATTTCAGTTCTGGCTTTTCCATTTATTTTCTTCTCAAAAGTTCTTTTCCTCATGTTCTGACACAGCAATGTAGCCATTCTATTTATTTCTAGAGAATACAATTTGGGAGAATACTTTGTCTAAAAAGATAGAAAATTATCTTTTCTACTTCTGAGATGGTTTGAAAGTTAATGCATGAGTCCTAGCCTCATTTGAGAAATAACGTGCTTCAACAACACTTCCTTAGGTTTTTGTCAAAAAAAAAAAAAAAAAAAAAAACCACACGATTTTTTTTTTTTAAAGGGCAATATGCTCAAGAAATGTGTGTTTGTTCCCTTCGGTGCTTTTTGTGGTCCTGATTGTCCAGTGGAGGTGGTATAGTTGTCTTCCTTGGGTACAATGATGTTTCATACCCCGCAGTATCTTTTCCCAGTGGGTATTTTTAAAGCCTCTTTTGTAAGTAAAAATATAATTTCTGAGCAAGAACTCTTTCTGCTTTCACAAAGAATTTTATAAACCCAACAGTGGCCTACAAGCCTATGCAAAGCAATGCGGGAAGAGAATCATCATCTAAACAATCACTTAAGAGATCTAATCTGGAACAAAATAACAGAGATTTTTAGCAAAGATGGTGCAATTCCAGATGGTATGCATTCTGTAAAGTTAGAGTTGACAAATCTTGTCTCAGTTTGGAGAACTCATTGATATTCTTTTGTCAAGACTTGTAAGACATGGAATCAGATGCGGCAAGTAATATTCTAGAAAATAGCAGTGTGAGTGCTTACTGCCAGACTAAGAAGGAAATAGGATTTGGTCAAGACATCAGACCTTCATTAGCTCACTGCTTTCTTCACTCTCTCCAATAAGTCTTCCCTTCCATGTCCAGAAATGTGTTCTCAAAAAGAGGTGTTTTTGTGTTTAAGAGTAGGTGTTTAAATGAAATGTTTTCCTTTCCTTTTATGAGAAGTCATTCATATAATGGTTTTATTTTCTGTATGTCTACAAAATAAAAATTCTCCAACTGAAATCTTATGAGATTCTGCTTTTCTTAAGATTCAGTTCTAATTTTTAGGTCTACGTTACTATGTACATTCTTAAAAAATCCAAATGTTATATTACTTTGTTCTGTCTTTGTAATGAGTACTTTTATTTCTATTGTCCAATGTCTGAACAAAGATATCTCTTTATCCAGAGTTTCTGTGATCACTTGACTAGATAGAGAAAAATAGAAAATAATTTTCTGCTGTCTGATTCTTGACTTAAGAAAAACCAACTACTGGGCCTCCCCTGGTGGCGCAGCGGTTGAGTGCTAGGTTGTGAAGCTGCCCGCAGCCTCTGCAGCGCCGGTTCAATGCCCGGCCGCAGGGCGAGGGTCCCACATGGCACGCAGACCTCTCCTGCCTTCCCCTCAGCATTGTACTTCGCCCATCTGCCTGTTCTGCTCTCCCCACTCTGGCTCTGGTGAATTCTCTCACCCTCCCGCGCTTCTGACTGTACCCAGTGCTTGTATAAATAAATAAATAAATCTTGAAAAAAAAAAAGAGAAAAAGAAAAAGAAAAACCAACTACTGCGTTGGCTTCCCAGTGGCCCTGTGCATGGCCTCATTTCCCTGTTTCTAAAATTAAATTCTCAACCTTGGAGCAGGATGATGCAAAAAGTCAGCTGGGGCTAGTCTTGGGTCCCAAGAAGTAGAACTTTAAAAACTGTTTAACCTTCTTGAAAAACATGGTAGCTAACAACTACTGAAGAAACACATAAGACTAAGAATGTACTTCTGTGCATTTATTTATAAAAAGTACTAAGTTTTGGGAGGGTAGTTTGCACACACTATTTAGTCTTCACTTTTCTTCAAGTCAATATTGCAATTCTTGAACAGGGTTAAATTAAAGTAACACCTACATTTCACTGCAATTTACTAAGTAATCAATTCATTCATCCAACAAATATTTGTTGAGTGCCTCCCATATGCCAACCATTGTTGAAGTGCTTAAGCCAATGCAATACAATTCCTGTTATTGAACAATACACATGAAGTAAATCATAGAGCATGAGTCATTTTGGGAGTTCTGAAGTTTATACAATTTGATGGGACTTCTTTAAAAAAAAAAAGAATGCAAAATTACAAATGTAAAACTAGATACAAAATATTCATTTAAAGCTAGAAAAGAGGCCTTCCTGGTGGTGCAGAGGTTAAAGACACAGCACTATCAAGCTATCTCCAGCCACTGCAGCATGAGTTCGATTCCTGGCAGGCCAGGGGGCAACCCACGTGGCACAGCAGACCTCTCCTGTCTCACCCACTGCTCCCCTCAGCAGTGTATTTCAGTAGATCTGCCTGTTCTGCTCCCCACTCTCTCTGGTGAATCCTGTCACCTCCCACATTTCTGGTCTACACCCCAGTTCTTGTATGCATGAATAAATAAATATTTAAAAATAAATAAAGCGAGAAAAGAAATTATGACTACTCGTATTAATAGGCTCACACATAGCAAAAGCATTATAAAAGTCACACTATATTTGATTAACTACCCAGTACACTTTTTTTGGCCCAATTGTCTTTGATTGCATGAAAAATGTTAGGATAGATGTCAAATTTGAGAAAATCATAATTAGGTATCTTTACAATGTGAGCTGTGAAATATGGAAGAATTTTCTACAAATAAGTTGACTATTAATTTTACATGTTTCTCTTCCACTCACCACATACTTTTGGTGCTGGGCACTTTAGTGCACAATCAGGAAGCAATACACTCTGGCTAGCAAGGAGTAGCTGTCTTTCTGGAAGTTCTTCCCACATCAGGATGGCTGACTATATAGGAAAGTGACTGTAAACCACTAGTTATAGCCCATTTCACCCAATTCAATGTATCCCAAACTCATTTTCCTCTTAGCCAGACCTCAAAAATGCCTGGATCCCTTAATTACCACCTGGTGCAAGGGCAAGTGTGATTGAGAGGAAGGAGTATAGAAAGAGACAATGGTTTTAACCAATTATAGTTAAAATATATTACATTGGGATATTTTACAGAAACATGTGGCCATGTGACTAAATCACCAGAGCCTCTCCCAGGGCTCTGGAAGGGGGCTACACAGGGAAGAAGTACTGAAGCTTAAATTTCATCTACTTCATGGTAAATACACCTTTGAGAGGGTAGTAGGTGATAAGTGCTGTGTATTTACTGTGAAGATTTTATGGAAATAGTAAACAAAACTGGGGAATGTTTACCTGAATGGGAAGTTTTGAGCTAATATGATTCTCTGATGAGTTTGCCTGGCATATTTATGACATCCCTTTAAGGACTCTGTAAGGCTAGTTTGGTGCCACTGCCCAGCTTTTAATGCCATCTATAAGTCTGGTTAAGAACTAGCTGTGGGGGGAACAGCAGGTTCCCAAACCCTCCATAACTACCGGGCAGACCACCCAGGAAGCTCCTCTGTGCGTGAGTGGAAGGCCAAACACCTAAGCTTCAGATGCCTCGGGATGCAATGCTGTCAAGAGGCAGTAATAGAAAAATGACACCACAGCATGCAGCCAAAAGTTGGGAGGCCTTATGGTAACAGGATTTACTAGTAGAGGTCTGGTGAAGAAAAGGAATACAGAAAAGCCACACAAAACTATTTGACATATTTTAAGTGAATATAACTAAACATGTTGAAATAACGTTAACCTGCACATTGTTTTAGATTGTGGTACCCAGAAAATAGACTTTGTTACCAAGATTTACCTGCAGGAAGTTTACTGGGGAATATTGTCAGCAGCAACTGGTGAGGTGAAAGAAGAGGAGGCAGCAGAGTAAGGTGAAATGGGATGTGATGCAGTTGCAGCAGAAGCCTCTAGTGGGAGCTCTAGAGCTGGGATGGTCCTTCAGCCTTGTTCAGAATGAAGGCAAAAGAGCCATGCCTTTGCTTTGTCTGCCCACTAAATGTTGGATGTAAGCGATCCCCTCCCAAGAAGTGGGTCTAATCTTGGGAAAGCAGATCCTTTGTACCAAAGACAACTGTCCATAGGAAGTAGCTGTGGCAATTGGAGGGGTGGGGATGGGCTAGAGGGGTGGTTATCTCAGGTCTGAATAGGGAATCTCAGCAGTATCCACAATACACGTGCATCGTAATTGAGGGAGCTGGACTCATAATCACACACATCAAATCACTCAATACTCAGAGCAACTGGATTTTACAGGTGAGTCTCAGAGAGGTTAAATGACTTGCCCCAGCCAAATCCACTCATAAGGGCAGGGAGATCTTCAGAAATCAAGTCCTAGGAT